CGTACAGCGGTAGCGGTGCGCATCTATCGCGACGGCAAGCGCATTGAGATAACAGTTTGTCCGTCGTGTTTCTAGTAGTCGTGTTCTTCTTTGTTGCCACTTCATACCAGAAAAGAAAGTCTCCACCAACTTACAGTATCTCCACAGCAGTTCGGAAACGACGACTATTTTCTTTTGTCGTGTTTGTTGTTGCTGAGCCCACATCGGATGTTGCCGTTCGTTACACGTGTTCAAGCCTGCGGTGGGCCAGAGGGATGAGAGTGGGTGTCTTCTCGAGAGTTCATGCCTTGTCTTCTCGAGTCTCCCTTCCTTTAGTCTACCTCTCTCTCTCTGTTGCATTTTTGCCGTTAGGATCCCAATAACATTGAACGTCAACGGCAATCGTTTTGCATCTTGCTGAGTAGGAGGCTACCCGTGCACCCGGTTGCTGCATGTGAGGCAATGGGTGCCGCCTCTTTCCGTCAAGCAATGCGCATGGCCCCTACGGTTCGCCGCACATGCAGTGCTGTGTGACAGCTTCCAGCGGTTCAGAGCGGCGACGATGTTTTTCGCCGGTAGGGCCCCAGAACAACGCGAACCGCGACTGTTTCATTGTTTTGGGGTCCCCTCATTCACCAACCTACCCATGAATTTTGTTTTTTGTGTTTCCCTGCCGACTAACAACCTCGGCTGCAGTATCACAGGTGGACGTCCACCCCCCTTCCTCAAAATGTCGGATGCCCTCGCCCCCTTGTGGAGACCTTGACAAGGTCGAACACCTTGGAGAATACAACCAAGGCCTCGAAAGGGGAGAAATCGGAGGTATTATTGAGGCCTTGGTTGTCTTCTCCAAGGTGTTCGACCTTGTCAAGGTCTCCACAAGGGGGCGAGGGCATCCTACATTTTGGGGAAGGGGGGTCGACCTCCACCTGTATACTTGTGGATTACCTGTTGGAAATTCTGGGAATCCCTTCATTCCGAGAGGGCCATAGGTCGGCATCCGGCCTTTTCATACGGCAATGCTATTTGCTCCACCGGTGGAGTAAGTTCTTATTTGCTCCACCAGGCAGATCTCCACCCACAGAGCTCCAATCGACCTCAAACCAATTGCATCGTGTAGGTATGAACTGCGGCTACCTGCGATGCTACTTGCAAGCTAAATCCGACCGGTGGCTGCAGAGATATGCTGAAAAAGGGGCTTCCGCAGCATGTCAGGAAGCAGTAATCGTCTCGAACCTCCATCCACACCGCTCCAATTGACCTCAAATCTTTTGCATCGTGTCTGCACGGTCCATGCCGTGCTTCTAAGCTATCGGACACTCACATCCGATATCTTCCCGCAGAGATATGGTCAACCGAGGGGGTTCCAGCATATAGGGGGGGGTAACTGGCAATAGTCCCGCTATACCTCCCGTCACATAGCTGAACCACGCCTAACTCGGCCCGCATCTTGTGGGCACGGCTCACAGCTATCATTCAACCCATACTCCACCCCAGTCGGACCAGTGGGTGCAGAGAAACGCCCCCACGCGGGGGCTCAGTGACTCAAGGGCCGGTGGAGCAGATAAGCTTAACTGCTCCACCAGGCCAACTCTTCGTTAAGGGTACTGTTTGTCCTACTACGGCTTGTATTGTGTCGGCACGGCTCACAGCTATCATTCAAGCCATCGGACACCCCGATTGAGCCAGTGGGGGCAGAGAAACACCCACCCACGGGGGTTCAGTGGCTCAAGGGCCGGTGGAGCAGATAAGCTTAACTGCTCCACCAGGCCGAACTCTATCTACACCGGGCGCTTGTTTGTCTTACGAAGACTTTCATTGTGTTGGCCTGGCCCACAACTATCATACAAGCCATCGGGCACCCCAAGGGGACCAGTGGGTGCAGGGAAACGCCCACCCATGGGGACTCATCGCCCAAAGGCCGGTGGAGCAGATGTGTGGCCTCTGAGCCATTTCCTCGTCACATTCACTGTATCCTTTAGTCATATTCACTGTATTCCCTCATCACATACTACGCTGTCATGGGATACACTGTATTCCCAGATCACACACGCTGTATTCGATGAGGGGATACACTGTATTCCCAGATCACACACGCTGTATTCGCTGAGGGGATACACTGTATTCCCTCGTCAGATACACTGTATTCTCTGAGCAGATTCACTGTATTCCCTCATCACATACAATGTTTCCCTAATCAGATTCACTTTATTCCCTGATCAGAGTCGCCGTATTCCCTCGTCAGATACACTGTATTCCCTGATCAGATACGCTGTACTCCCAGAGCAGATTCATTGTAGTCCCTCGTCAGATACACTGTATTCCTTCATCAGATTCACTGCATTCCACGGCGTGCACATCTGATGAGGGATACATTGAATCTGATTAGGGAATACAGTGAAAAGTACAAGGAATACGGTAGTGTATTTGAAGAGGGAATACGGGGATCCTGACCAGGGAATACAGTGTCTTTGATGAGGGAATAAAGTGAAACGAACGAGGCAATACGGTGTATCTGATGAGGGAACACCGTAAATCTACTCAGGGAGTACAGTGAAAGGTACGACGAGCACTGCGTATCGGATAAGGAAATACAGTGATCCTGACCAGGGAATACAATGTATTTGATGATGGAATACAGCGAAACGAGCAAGGAAATACGGTGTATCTGATGAGGGAATACAGTGAATCTGCTCAGGGAATACAGTGCTTAGCGTATCTGATCAACAAATACAGTGTATGTGATCAGAGAATACATTTTATGTGTCCAGGAAATACAGTGTATACTACATACAGAGCACTGCACCGTCCGAACACGGCGCCATGAGGTGTCCGTGAGCAGAGAGGAGTACCGACAATGGAGGTGGGGTGGCCGTTGTTGACGGAGAGTGCCGTTAGTTGAGGGGGAGTGCCCCAAACCACCAGGAGGGGGGCGTTATTGGGGGGGTGCCCGTTAGTCGGGGTGGGTGGGGAGGAGTGCCCGTTAGCCCGGAGGGGAGCCCGTTTGAGAAAATTCCCCATATCCAGGGGGTGCCCCTATCCTGTCACAGTCTTCGTACGACGATCAGCGCCCGGTGTAGATAGAGTTTGGCCTGGTGGAGCAGTTAAGCTCCACCGGCCCTTGAGCCGCTGAGCCCCCGTGGGTTGGCGTTTCCCTGCACTCACTGGTCCCATTGGGGTGCCCGATGGCTTGTATGATAGTTGTGGGCCGGGCCAACACAATGAAAGTCTTCGTAAGACAAAGAACACCTGGTAGATAGAGGTTGGCCTGGTGGAGCAGTTAAGCTTATCTGCTCCACCGGCCCTTGAGTCACTGGGTCCCCATGGGTGGGCGTTCCCCTGCACCCACTGGTCCCATTGGGGTGTCCGGTGGCTTGAATGGTAGTTGTGAGCCGTGCCGACACAATACAACCGTAGTAGGACAAACAACACCCAGTGTAGATAGAGTTTGGCCTGGTGGAGCAGTTTAGCTTATCTGCTCCACCGGCCCTTGAGTCACTGAACCCCCGATGTTGGAGGTTATCTGAGGGCTGGCGAAGATCAACGACAATCTGCCGTTGAGAACTGTGCCATGAAAACATGTTGAAGAGAGCCTGCACCGACGACCCGTGCCTAGAGCGGCAGGGTTCGTTGAGACACGAAGTACGTATCGGGTGTTTGCTTGGTACGTCTATACCGGGGAAGGACACAGGGGGGGAGACACACGATCGATATAGCCCTAATAGCAGAAGGACTTACGACACGCACATGGTGATTGTAGTATGCCCAAAGTTACCTATTCTTGTATAGCTTAATCAAATACTTCGTAGTATGACAGTTCAGCACGTGAAGATGCACAGCCGTTGGGAAGGTTGCCACTACTGTACTGTAATAGGGTGCACCTTTTGCCACGCTTGTTGAACAGATGATAGGTAGCAGCGGTGTAGAGCATCAAGCTGCAGAATCCCCTCAATTTCTTATTGATTGGTCCTTGCCTCAGAGTAAAAGAATGTAGTCGCATGCATACCTACACCCGGACATCCACGCGTATTGTCTATTTTCCATACCAGCGGTATGTTATCGCCGTGTCTCAAATGCAACGGTATGTTATCGTCACTTTTCAAATGCAAACCTGACACAACAAAATAGCGCACGGGAAAATACAATGCAGCCACACTGCGAAGTGGGCTGATGAGGGCTATAGGATATGTCTCAAAAGATACCCGAATCAATGCGGAACCCCGCATGGTTCCGCCACCAACTCCTGACTCTCGTCACGGCCCTTACCACGGAAGGAACCTAAACAAAATTGAAGAGCGCACTACTTGTGATCAGCTAAGACTGTGAGTCGATGCAAAGCGAGACCCTTGGTATAATGGGAGAAGCAGCTAGAACATAACGTACCGTCGGATAGCTAGAAGAAGCTAGAAATCATCAGGTACAGTTTTTCTAGGATATGTACGATGTTTGATCCCCCATGCATGAGCTCATCCCAAACTAACCCTAGCCAGCGGATATCGAAGTTAAAGAAATGGTAGCCTACCATACTCGATTGCTGTACCGCCACTGTCACAAGTATTTCACCGTGAATGCAATTATATCCACACGTGGATCATTTGAATTGTATCTTTCGTGCCCGAAACTATAAACGGTTCTTCCGCGCATGTCCCCGAAACGATTATATATCCCATCCGCATAAACCACCTACCAAGGTCGTTCTCACCGGGTACCAAACAAGGTCAGCTACTATCGTCACAGATACTTGGAGGTATGGAGGAGGATAAACGAAATATTCTAAATTGGACAGCACCCGCGTTACCTTGCCTGATTCGTCAGCCATATCTACGTATCTACCGGTCGGCGCCCTGTGCAGTCGGAACCGGATACACACACGGTTTGACTCTTCACGAGGGGCTGTCGCGGAGATGGTACAATCAACTTTGAGTACCGCGTGACTGCGTGTCCTATTGACGAGCGTCCCCCGAACAGATTTGTAGTGCTTGCTTCAAAGGTAGCTAGTTTTCCAAAAGCGAATCACGGATTTACATCATGCCGGGCATGCCGCCAATTCCTCCCATTCCGCCACCCATGCCCCCTCCGCCCATCGGCGGTTCCAGTGCTTCCTCTTCCGGGAAGTCCCTCACCATCGCCTCGGCGGTCACTTGGAGAGCGGCAACGCTCCGGGCGTCTACCAATGCCGTGCGCATAACCTGCGTCCCAGAAGCATGAGACCTGTCGTGGGGTGGGTGGCGGAGATAGTACGTTTCCCGATATATTTATGTGTGTCTGTGCGTCGTCCGATTTATGCTGGGCTCCAGATTTGAAACCATACTACAGTACATGTACAGCAGTTCGGTCGGGAAAGCATATTGTGCTTCTGCAAAAGAGCACGGAGCGAGGAAACACTTGCCAAGGTAGCAGATACAGCCTTGTTGGCGAGGTGGGATGAGCAACCGTCGTTTGTCACGCAGCCGGCCGCAAAAGACACAGCATCACATCGCACGCGTTGTCTCAGCCAAGTAGGCGTGTTCAATCTTGTTTGGCACACAACAACAAGCCAACGTTAACGAGCTCAACGCATCAGGAGGGTATGCATCACGGATGGGCTTGGGGGTCGAAAAGGGGACTAACGAAGCAGTAGATGATCCTGCAAATCGAGAACAGCCCCTAGTTTTGGCCGAGCTAGGGGATCTTCTTTTCTAGGGATGAGGCTGCGCGACCCCGGTGGAGGGCTTGGAGGGCTTTGTACGGGTAAAAAACGGTGCTCATCAAGGCCTTTGGTTTTGAAATCTTCGAGGCTCCAAGTCCTCTAGGGCCGGCGCTAACTGTGCGCGGTACAAGTTACGCTTCCGACACACTGCGGAACACCCTTCATTCATGTCTACGCGCGTTTGTGACATATATTTTGAAAGTAAGTTTTGTTTGCGATTGCGGTGGCACGGTGGCGGCAGAAACAACCGGGTTCGTGCTGCCGGCAGAAACACCCGTAGTCTATAGTATATGTTTAAGCCTTCTTTTTGCCTGGCAAACGATTCGAATACGAGAACGCCCCCGCATGTCATTTTGGTGTTGGATAAAGTATCACCGGGCAGCAAACGAGTGTACTGCCGTGTACTTGTGTTGTGGTACACTGCTGTTGAAGGCATGCGCACAAAAAACAGATCGAAACCTGGAAGGATGAATTTGCCGGGGTGGCCAACCCTTCAGGCACGCTCCTTTGGGCGCCCACGGTGAGCTGCTATACATAATGCACAATAGTTGGTGTGTACGTTGAACATTGCACATACACCGTGACATACACTATGTAGTGGGATGACCTACACTCCTACGGTGGCAATGCTGCTTGGCCACTCCTGCTTGTACGAAGACTACTGCAGTGCAAGTGCTGATTGGCGGAGGTGGACGTTCCCGCCGTCTCGCGAAAAAAATATGACAAGGCGTGTTCGTGCGCTCCATCCATGTGCATACAGCATACAGAATATCTGTCGTTGATTTCTATTGACTTGCGGACCCCTCGGGGCCAGTTTATTTGAGTGTACCTTTTTAGGGTAAGTTAACCTGTGACCACGGGAATCGACCGCGTCGAGTGTTGGATCAGTACGGACATACGAAGGTACTGGGTAGAGAGAGATCGGAACGGTTTTTAATATGAAGACAACAACAACATACATCTGTAGGTCAATAGGCCTCCAATCTACCGCTCGAGAGCTCGGAGAGAGAGACGTTCCAAAGCAGCCCGCCACCCGGAGAGGAAGAGCCGCCCGCTGTAAAGCACAACTTTCCTGTCACATCGTCCGATTGGTGAGGTATCGTGCTTCCAAACGCCAATGAGCACCCCGTATTCGTAAACCCGCGATTCTGTAGACAACCCTGCCCACTGGCGACCACAGGTAATCTCTGCCAGATCGAGAACGAGCACCCCCCCACTGCTGTGGGGTCTTCCTCTCTGATGCCCTGTACGACTGTACAACGACTACCTTGGAACGGGTGGCGTTCTCAAGCGGTGCATGGGTAGAGAGGGCGATTCCGCGTGTTTGATTGTTGCATGTCGGTGTACTTACAAGAATATGGTGCTATGTACCGTTTGCGGCAATCAAGGGCAGTCAGTACATGTAGGACACCCTGCGTGTCGACCCCTCAGCTCTGACCATTTTGACACCGCGGGGCTATGGCACGACATTTCAACCACCGGGCACCATCTCGATACGCCATGCCAAAATGCATCAGGTAGCATGTGCATGGTCCGGCGTCCGGCGCACCTTTTTTTTTTTTATCTTCACTTCAAATCAGCGCTCACAGCACTAGTGTCGTTTACTCCAACCCGTGGTCACACAGAAGAGCCCCTCTCTACCCTCCCCTCCCTCCCCTCCTGCGGTCCTTTGCCTTCGATTTTTAATGCGAGAAGAGTTCAGCACTCTCTTCCCTCTGTGTATACACGAACTAGCACCTATCCACTAGGCCAGGAGCGGAAGCGAGAGAACAACTCACTTTGCAAGAAAAGCTCGCTTACGCCGGGATTCGAACCCCTGACCTGACCTCTAGAAGGTTTCGAGGATACCAACTAGACCACCGGGGCGACCGACACCTTACCCTCTTTTTGCTTTCTTTCCAATTTACGGGTGCAGGTTTCCTCTTCAACAATCCTGGGCATTGTTTGTTTTCCAAATTCTAACTCCAGTACGAAGCTTCCATCTAACATGAACCATCCATTGAACCAGATGTTGCCCCCCCCCTCGGATACCGGACAAGATTGGGAGGTGGAATGTACTAATTACTCCTACTTTTAGCAAAAATAATGCCTGCGAAGTAGGCTCGTGCGTTGTTACCATGGGCTCGTTTACAGAGAGGGTGGTATTCATCATGGTCGTCAGCAAAGAGACGGGAAAGCGTATGCAAAGCGTGTGATGGGTGACCAGACTAGCACGGAAGGTCGCACACTAGACCCTCGCGCACAAGTGTAGAGAGGCTTACAGCAGTACATACTGCACCAATGGTACTGCGTGGCAGCGTCAGAGTGTGTGTTGTTGGTGTGGTTTTCCTCTCTGCAAGAGGACGCCGCTGCCGCGAACTTCCTACGGCGACAATAACACTTAACAAGAGTGGTGACCGAGCGACCAAACCAAACGCTCGCTTATCTCTCCCCTTCCTCCGCCGACAGCTAACAGCAGCATGCACAGGGCACACACTGCTCCCTCCGTCTTGCCCTCGCTGTGGTGTGTGTGTCTCCCTCCCCCTTTGTCCACGCCTGGCTCCGTATGTGTGTGTGGTGTCTTGGTGTCAGCTACGTCTTACAGGCCGTCGCTGCCGCTCGCTGTAAACAGAAAACCAACCGAGAGCCACAACCAAACGATCTCTCCTCACGGTTGCTCCGGCGATACCTAACAGCAGTAGTATAGGGCACACCCTACTCCCGTCTCGCTCTCGCCCAAACTCTGGCGGTGATTGGGTCTTCCTCCCCTCATGTCCTTGCCTGGCTCCGGGTGATGATGTCTGTTGCGTGAGCATACGTACGCCTGGTTCTAAACGAGCCTCCTCCTCCACCTCCGGGACGCCTGAATGCGACATATATATTCTGGACAGATGCTGTGCTATCTCAACGCACCGACCATAGATGGAAACGTAGCAGTTGGGACATCTCGGGAAAATATTACTTGTGCACAAATCTTGGGTGGATTGCAATTTGATGCCTAGATGGTGAAATGGGCGAATGGGCTCCAGTCTGCTGCGTTCTTATCGATCCTGTCACAGACAGATAGACAGACAGACATGCATGGCTGATTCCCCCCGCCTTCCTCAGTCATTTTTTTTTGCGCGCATACACCTACATGCGATCCCCCTAAACAGCACTTTCTTGCGAAACCAAAAGCACCCCTTCCAGGCCGTTCTGCAAAAACAATCCTGTAATCATGTTTGTACCTGTATATTACAGATTAGCGGTCCGCCATCTTCCAAACAGTCCCGATTTCAAAACACTTCAAGCACACAGTGACCGAGAATCAACGCCTATGCAAGTGTGTGGGACCACGAACTTCAGCGCAGCTCTTTCCTTACATGTCCTACTCGTCGCCATACTCGATGGGAAAGGCCTGTGGTCATGCATACGTAGGTATAGAAGCCAAGCGAAGGCGCTTGAAGCGTTTCAAAATCGGACCGCACCACAGCTACAAAAATCCTGATTGTAGCTCACCGATCAAGATGATATAGGGACCGTTTGGAACATTACGGACCGCTAAATCTGTAGTGTATCACAATGGCGACAATCTCAGACACTAACATTGTACTGGAATTGTACACGAGGGGGGGGCAGCGGACGGGCAATTTGCGATGACCTTGTCGTGCTGGAGTCAGACTTTGGAAAACTAAGATATGCAGACGTTTCCTGAATTTTGAAAGAAGAAAACTGCGTACCCCAGTGCCTCTTCATATATGCGCTCACATGCATACACACAGCATGTACGTCTGATGTCACGGAGCTCGAACCCGTAGTCACACACAAGGGTTCCTCCCCCTTAGCTGGATTATTATAAGTGAAAACATTGCAAGTAGTAGCCTAGTCTAGAGGGGGGCTTGATTGAGCACCAACTTTCCCCAAACCTCGCACACAGAATGACTTCAAAAGCTCGCAGACCGTAGCAAACATTTGCCAGCGTCGAAAAGCAGAATAAAATCGTAGTTAGATGACATGGCGAACCAACAGAGCCGAAGGCTACTTCATTCTAAGACCTCCCGTATGGAGCCGGGGATGCGTCCTATTAAAGAGATCGGCACCCCTACTACGAATACGCTGCCTGAAGGTTTGCAGTCTACATGCAGTGCATATCACACGAGGAGAGGCTTTGCTGTGCTGTACGCGCTGCACCTGCTTTTGGCCCCTGCCCCCCTCAGAGACGGTTGCGCGGCTGCTATTTGCATGGTTACGTAGTTTCATCGTGAGAGGTGTGCAGAGCGTTGAGAACGCGTTTGGGGCACATCTTCCAACCTGTGACTTTGATGTTTGTTTTTGCAAAATGCAAGACCTCTGAGTGACAACTACCAAAACAATACCCGCCCTGTTGACATCGGCACCTTTGGCGCTGCCCCTTCCATCGCCGCCTCGTCTGTACCACAGGCAGGCTAAAGAGACATGGCGACGGCGAGAGAACAACTGACGGGCACTTCGGAGAAGCTTAGGTTGGCGTTTTCTGGCCTTCACGTGGTCGAGGAAGAAGTCGGAGCTCGCACAGCAGGTCTTGGTGCCCTCTCTCTGTCGCAAGCAGCCGCAAGTGTGTCTCAAGCAGCCATCATGGCGAAGGCGGAGGCAGTCAAGGTCATGAAGGCGGCAGACGTGGCAGAGGCGGCGGCCGCCAGAGCAGCTGAGGTGGCATCCGTGGCTCAAGCAGTAAGAACGGCGGCTGCGGCAAAATCAGCAGCGGCGAAGGCGGCAGTCGAAGCAGCAGAGGCCGCACAAGCTGCAGTGGCAGCGTTGGAAGCAGACATCGAGCCACCGGCTGGCATGGCGTACGTGTATGTGCTTGTTTGACGTCGAGTAGATGGTGAAAATGGAGCGTATTCGCTTGGGCGGTGCTGCCTCTTTTTTCGCCAAATCGACGTCTTCCAGTATGGTCTATTCAGACCGTTTGAGCTTGTGTTCTCTCGTTGAGAAATAGTGTGCACTGGCGGCTATGTCGAAGTTCCCCACACCATGACACGGTGCTGTAGAGCGGACGGCGCACTGCTTTGGTTATATCGTGCACAGCTGATGTTGGCCCTTGCACCACCACGTTGCTCCCGTTGTTCCAATGACCTCATTCAGGAGAATGCCAAGTGGCAGCAAGAGCGGCAGTGAGGCGCAAGGTGGGTCAAGGGCTTGGATGACAAATAAGAATGGCCTGGGTGGTGTAGCGAGGCGTCACCCACTTGATGCTTGATGCTGGATGATGATGAAGCTGAACTGGGTGCGACTGTAGGGTGTTCTGCCATACCACCTGGACGTCCCCTTCCTGATATCTTGGCAACGTTCGAAACGACGTCGTGTCTATGTTCGTATTTCGTATAAAATTTGTCACGCAGGTGCGATGTCATCTTATGGTTCTCAAGTCGAGCATTGCGTTGTTAATGTTGCGATCAAGGTGAGCCAATCTAGTCTTTGCGCAAGGTACGCTTATCGGCCGTATGGAGCGCCGAAGACACGATACTACATGCCTTCCCGTATCGTAGTGATCCAACGGATTCAGGACAATCGACATGAAAGCTCCACCGGCCTTCTACACAAATTGTGCGCCTGCCCGTTGACTACCGCTGTGCCTCCGTATCGCAGGCCGGCGAATCAGAAATGTCTGAAGATGAAGAGGAACACAACACATCACCCACCGTGGAAGCGACGTCCGAGGCTGGAACCAGCTATCAGGAGAGGCAAGAGGTGTCCGAGGTAGGTACCTCTGGACGTCTAGAATCGTACGGCGTATTGTTTGTGTTCTTGAAGCAGTAGTAGGAGAGTGCCTCGACCAACCGTGTGCTTGACCAACGTCGCCATGCCATCGTGGTCAATTGTTTATACCTGATGAGGCTAGTATAGAAACGTCTATGGGCTCCTTGATGACCGCCCAATGGCCGAGGTGCTCCCTTACATTCAAATGTGGCCGTTTGGGGGCAACGTTGTGCTGGGCATAAATCGTGGAACCTCTTTCACTCTCCCGCCCACCATTGCGTGGCTGCAGAGAAGCATCATTGCGGCCGCAGGTTTCGGACTCGACAAGACCGCATTTAACCGACGCAAAAAGCGGGAAGCCACGTCATTTCTTGGGTACGAATGATTCCCGAGTATTCCATGGATTAGAGCTGGTTCTAGCTGTCGCTAGGGGGGATTATTATGTAAGTATAATGGGTACATTGCTTTCTCGTCCATGTGCTACTGCATGATGCCGTATCCGTGTCCTGGTGGGTGTCATCCACAGGACACCCACGGAAAAGGTCGAGGAGAGGAGGAGGAGGAGGAGGAGGAGGAGGAGGAGGAGGAGGAGGAGGGGGAGGCGGAGGAGGAGGAGGAGGAGGAAGAAGAAGAGGTGGGCCAACGTTGTTGGCCGCGTGGCCACCCCCAGTGTACGGTAGCGGCGTTTGATGCCTGATGAATCGAGATCCTCTCGGTGGACATCGTGCGTATTGCGTTCAGCAGGTGATATCTTGCGAGCTAATCAGCATCGCTGGTGCGGCCGATGGCGAAGGTAGAGACTAATTTTGATTACTCCATCGGTCGCCGCTGCTCAGTGAAACACATCTGAGATCTGTTTGGCGTACATCTACCTCCACAACAACAAGCCGATTCACATATCCCGCTCGCATGTCGAGATTCCGCGGGTGAGCGGACTCTACGCAAGGTTGATAGTGCCCCTGTAGTTTGTTCTATGTAGCACCGGAGCCGTCAATGGGCGGTAGCGTTAGCGACATCCAACGTTTGCGGTTGTGCCATGATTCACTGCAGGCACCATGGCGAGACAAGCGCAAACTTGATGGCACTAGCAACGCCCCCCGTCGACAGAGCGTTCGGGCGGCCGGTAGACCGCAACCAAACTACGCCGAAAGGTGAGCGAAGGTAGCGCGACATGATGCTACGCTCATCGTTGGACTCAGGGCCGGATGCGGGGATCATTCGCTTGCGATTCTTAGCAATTTTGATATTTCAGTTTCCCATTTATCCATCGTCTCAAGCTGTAGTACTGTCAACACTCACGCTCTCAACTATCTTCAATACTTCTTCGAATAAACATTGTGTTCTTACATGTAGTGCAAGACTGCACCCCCATCCCACAGTTTGGCGCTAGAATTCAACCCAAGAAGAGGTAGCATTCTACTCTGTAGGTTCCGTAACCTATCCACATCTCAGAGAAAATATTCGACAGGAGATTGGGTGAGCTTTGTTGGGCCACGCAGTTGCTGTGCTGTAAAGGAGTGGGGGGCTTTTCAAGATGCCATGACAATAGTGTCCTTGACACTTGTTGTTGGCAAGATAAGACAGGTTAGTTATATAGCACTCATGTACCTGCTCCCTCACATAGAGCCGCGACCGCTGTTACGCACGTGCGCGTTCGCATGTACATGCAAGGTGCGGGTGTCCCTCGCTTGTTGGGTGTGTTCTACTATTGTAGCTGCAACATACGCCCCAAAACGATGCTGTAAAACATCCCCCAAAAACGAGTGGCGTGATCCAACGCCCTTGTTGTCGTCGGCGATGCGTTCTGATTCGGGACCACACGCATGAAACACACATTGGCACACGATTGGAACCTGCTGAAGCTATGTACAGCCTTTGCGTTCAGATTGAGGAACACACGCGCTAAACACACAATGGCATACGACTGGCACCTGCGGAAGCCGTGCAAAGCCATACGCCTTTGCATACTGCAATGGTTTCGGGTGCGGTTGCTGGTGCCCATGCTCGGTGATGGCCTGTGTGTCGCATTCACGCACGTACTCAGGGGCACCCGCAGGTTCCTATTTATGCTGGCGTTTTGTGGAGTGCTGTGACTGGCGCCTAGTGCTTGATTAGACGGTAGGCGTTGCGCGGTCAAGGTTTTTGAATGAGAAACGAGGTCTCGAAACCCGGTGCGATCTTGTTCCCTTCCACCGTGTACCACGTTGGTTCCAATTCATAAGAGAAACCATATGGGCTACCCCTGAGCTTCTGATTCTCGGCGTAGACTAGACACGTCCATCGAAACGCTCGGCACAATCTACGAACCGGTGGTGCTTCAGCTCGATTGTATTTGTACAATATGTTCGATCCCACCGCTGTTTTTTTTGCCCTCGCCTGCATCAAATGTTTTCGTATTCGATTGTCAGTCCTACAAGAGAGCCGTCTAAGCGCCAACGGAAGGCTTCCGAATCAGGAATAGGGGAAGAACTCGGGGGGGGTGGAGCGGCGCAGTACCACAGACGGTAAGTTTGGTTGAAAAAATGTTGCTCAGCCTTCCGATTCAAACATGATAGTGTGGTTTGTCTGTGCATGCTGCGTTAGACTTTGTGAAGCACGTCACTCGCACCGCATGTCTTCTCTCAGACTCTTATTGGTGACATCGTTTGTGTAGCGGGGTGGCATGCTCGACACGGTTCCTGCCATACAGTACGCCAGGTGTATCGATACCACATTTTCCGACCACGTTTGCAACTCTCGTGAGTGTGCACCTGTTTTGTTGGCGTTGGTTGTGTTGGCCCACACATCTAGTCTTCACTGTTTGGGATTTGAGCGTGCTTGAGGAAGAGGCGAGGGGATGAGCGCAGACACGGTGGAGCTTTTTTTTTACTCTTCATAGCCGAGAAGCCACTCAATACCGCATTCATTCGCGACTTCAAACTGCTGTATGCTCGCAGCATAAAAGTGCAGGGTCACCATTTCAGTCTTCATGAAACTTGGCTCCTACAATATGGTGAACGCGCCCCTTAAGACCACACGAACACGTGCTTGCAGATATTAGGTTGGCCCGTCAAGGGTTGGCGATGATCGCCGGCTCCAGCTCGTGCGCGACTCATACAAGTATGCATTGCAACGAACTCACCCGCGTCTCGCCGCGCACAATCACGCTGCTTCCATTAGATTTGTGTATTGGTGCACACGCCAACGATACACGCATCGAGTGGAATTGGAGAAGGGAGGCAAGGGCTCCCACAACTCGGCGGAGCCCGTGTTCCCCGTGTTCTGCACACATGACGTTCGGTGGATAGGTTTGGTCAGAACATACTTTTCTCTAGCTTTTGGCGGAAAGCTTGCTTGAAGAGCCGACTTTGTTCCAGACTCCACGCATTTGAAGACGACGGCAGCCAGTTAGCTTTTCGTCAATGCCGCTCTCGCGTGCGAGGCAGAAACAACATTGAATGGTCCCCAGGCGAGCTTGGCAGATGGAATCGTAGACTTGACGCAGAATGCAGTACCGTAGGTGACACAAGATACCACACCCCCTGGACCGATACTGAAAGCTCGACCACTCCACGACGAAGAGGATGCCAATATCAAAATATACGTTTTCGGAAAGATCTCGGCAAGACGGTTACAACGCCGTCATTATCGGCGCTGCCCCTTATTCGGCTGTGGAGTAGGTTTGGAAATCGGGGTGCGTGGTATTTTGTGTCACCTACGGTATATACCCTAAGAGGCGAAGAGATGGCACCCCTCCTAGACCGACTTCAAAGCTCGATTGCTCCACAGCCGATGGGGTGCGGAAGGAGCCCGATATTGCTACGGAAAGCCACGACGAGATGTTTCCAAAGCCACCCTTTCAAAAGCGGGTCTAGGGGGGTGCTATATCTACGGAATATGGCATTGTGGTGGAACACTGAGGGATATCTCAATGCCGAGGAGACGCAGAGAGTTGAAAGACAAGCCTGACGTGTGTAGCCCGGAGGTGGGGAAACGTGCAACGTTGTCCCATGATAAGATTGGGATTGCCTTGCTGCTGCCCAATGTCGCTCGCATCCTTGCTGAGAAAAGCACCCTCTTGAGTCTTCAAGGAGGTGGAAGAGACCTTGCTTGATTTTGTTGCAATAGCTGGTCGTAGCAAGCTGAGGTGTTACCAGCAGTGTAGTCCTCCTGTCTAGTGTTGGCAAGTCCATAGCTGGGTACTCGTACGTATCCTTCTGGGAAAAGCGGGCGCGTGAGCCGGCAAGGCTCACGTTGGCGGGGCCAGAAAATGGCATATTTGCATTTTCTACCAGTAGGTCTTGAGCTTTAAGGTTCTCACTGAAGTCCATCTCATCATTGGAATGTGCTTGAACAAGCGTAGTTCAAGCGGGTTGAGAGGTATCCGTACAAGGTCTACAAGCCAAACCCGATCTCTGCGCCCCACCACGAGCACCCGTTAGCCCTTCGAATATCATACGTTTGCAACTAACCTGTCGCTGGCTACCGTAATGTCCTCTAGATCCAAGATGGCGGTTGCGTATGGTACACTTGTCTCATCTTCTGGGCACCGCTCTTTCTCTCTATCTGTCTTTCGCCCTTTGTTATTCTGTGGAAAAAACATAATATCAAAACCGATAGAATCGGAAAGCCTGGTATTGACAGTCCAGTCTTCTCGACGGTGAGTAGTCTAGACGTCTACCCAAGAGGGTTATAGTGCGAAGAGAGGAATTTAATATTCAAACGTGGGTGCTGCTCGTTTTTCTTTGTTGTCGTATCGTCTTTTTTCTGCAGTCAGCGCGACTATTCGTCGGACAAAGTGGACAGACACAACGCCGGTGTTGCCAGGGGCACGACTGCACGACACGGCCATTGCACGGCCATGAAGCCAGATTTCCGCTCGAATCGCGCCAAGCAGGGTGTAGCCCATATCAGCCAGACGTGTGGCCACCCGGCGTGCATGAAGCGGCCATCATTCGGTAAAGCCGGCAGCAAAGAGGTAGAGTTCTGCTCTCGGCACCAGAAGCAGGGTATGGTTGACCTCGTGAACAAGAAGTGCGGCCACCCCGGCTGCATCAAAAGCTCGTCATTTAGTGAACACGGCAGCACCAAGCGTGAGTTCTGCTCTCAGCACCCGAAGGAGGGTATGGGCAACGTCGTTAGCAAGAGGTGCGGCCATCCCGGGTGCATGAAGCATCCCACGTTTGGTCAAGCTGGCAGCAAGAAGGTAGAGTTCTGCTCTCCGCACGCGAAGCAGGGTATGGTCAACGTCGTCAGCAAGAGGTGCGGCCACCCCGGGTGCATGAAGTATGCCACATTTGGTCAAGCTGGCAGCACCAAGCGTGAGTTCTGCTCTCAGCACGCGAAGCAGGGTATGGTCAACCTCGTCGGCAAGAAGTGTGGCTACCCCGGGTGCATGAAGCAGCCGTTTTATGGTAAATACGGCAGCAAGAAGGCGGAGTTCTGCTCTCAGCACGCGAAGCAGGGTATGATCAACGTCGTCAGCAAGAGGTGCGGCCACCCCGGGTGCATGAAGTATCCCACATTTGGTCAAGCTGGCAGTAAGAAGGTAGAGTTCTGCTCTCCGCACGCGAAGCAGGGTATGGTCAACGTCGTCGGCCAGAAGTGTGGCCACCCCGGGTGCATGAAGCAGCCATTGTATGGTAAATACGGCAGCACCAAGCGTGAGTTCTGCTCTCCGCACGCGAAGCAGGGTATGGTCAACGTCGCAAGCCAGAAGTGCGGCCACCCCGGGTGCATGAAGCATCCCACATATGGACAAGCTGGCAGCAAGACGGCGGAGTTCTGCTCTCCGCACGCGGAGCAGGGTATGGTCAACGTCGTCAGCAAGAGGTGCGGCCACCCCGGGTGCATGAAGCATCCCTCATATGGTCAAGCTGGCAGCAAGAAGGTAGAGTTCTGCTCTCAGCACGCGAAGCAGGGTATGGTCAACGTCGTCGGCCAGAAGTGTGGCCACCCCGGGTGCATGAAGCACCCGGCATTTGGTAAATACGGCAGCACCAAGCGTGAGTTCTGCTCTCCGCACGCGAAGAAGGGTATGGTTGACCTTAACAACAAGCGTTGCGGGCACCCAGGGTGCGTCAAAGTCTCGTCATATGGTGAACACGGCAGCAACAAGTACGAGTTCTGCTCTCAGCACGCGAAGGAGGGTATGGTTGACCTTCTCCACAAGAGGTGCGGTCACTCGGGATGCATCAAACGGCCGACGGTTGGTGACACCGGCAGCAGAAAGGCGGAGTTCTGCTCTCAGCACGGGAAGAATGGCATGGTTGACCTCATCCACAAGACGTGCGGTCACCCCGAGTGCATGATACAACCGTCATATGGTGAACGCGGCAGCAACAAGCGTGAGTTCTGCTCTAAGCACGCGAGGGAGGGTATGATTAACGTCGTTAACAAGAGATGAGGGCAGCCAGCGACTTTTTAGCGCGTCGTATACGGCAAAAAACGGCAACAACAAACGTGACTTCTGCAGAAGGAGCTTCGAAGGGAGGAATGCTACTTGCAGATCGGGCCGAGAAGAATAAGTCGCAGCTTGCGGTGCTGCTCCTGTGCGTTGTCGTTTCGATGGTCAAAGATTTCACTGGGTGTGGAAAATGCGATTGTTTTTTCTCACTCTTCCGACCCTGGTAGCGTTTGAAGCCTTCTTTTTACCCCCAGGTGAGGGTTGTAGTCAGGCGCAAGCGTCCGACCTAGGTTGCGTTTTTCTTCGCCCGTTGAGCTTGGCGGTCACCGTCACCGTTCCCGCTTGAGTGGTCGTTCAGGCGATAGCCAAGCTACGTTAACACGCTCGCAAGGCATATAAGTTTTTTATGTTTTGTTCGACCAACTGAAATGATGAAGACAGCGGATGGGGCCAGTTGTGATTTTTTTGCATGTTAGGACGGTGGGGGGATGGGCCGAGGGACACCCCTTGGGCTTGGGTTGGGTCCAGAGACACCCCTAGGTCACGAACCGCGTAGGAGTGCTGCGGAGATTGGGCAATACTGTTGATGGAAATACCTCGAAAAAAGCAGACGCATGGGAATACCCTGATAAATAGTTGTGTTGTGAGTCAGGGGGGAGCGAGCCCGCTGCAGCAGGGTTCAGCGTCCATCATACACTGCCTCTACCTGTGGCAATACCCCGAAGGTAGATCTCCAACAGGTCGTCTGACGTCACAATTTACGACAGTCTGAGGCGGTATTCGTAGAGAGCGAATTACATACGCAGTGTTGCGAGACCGTCGATCGCATCCAGCTGAACTCATGGCTGGAGACGAACAAAGGGACTGTTTGATTCGTTGCGAGTGCTCCCTGGAACCATTAGTATCCAGCAGTGCACAGCAGTTGTCTCGCCATCTCCTGTGCCTTTCATGTCCATCAATTTCACGTCATCTCTACCACGGCCATGGCATTCATTTCATTAGCCAAAGATCTCGCACAACGCTGATTGGTGGCGGTCAACGGTTTTGCCAGATCCCTGAGAATGCGAGTAGTTCACGTCAGCTAATCTGCATAATGAGGGTGCCAGAGAGACCAGCAGAAACGGGCAAGAGAGTGAGCGGTCGCATAAACTCGCAGGAGTGCCGTCTTACATAGCGCCCCTTTGAAACCGTATGACTCTTCGCGGTTTCACAACTGCATGTCTACCCCCCTTCGCAGCACCGCCATCCGCTCATGGCAGCGCCTCGCCGTGCACCTTATTTCTTGACACGGTTGATTGCCTTGCACATTCAGGCACACATTCGTCCTCGCGACTACCGCATCTCAAAGATGCCAGGCAAAAATCATGCTTGACCTCAAAACCAAACCCGCCCCCAACAGACACACCGGACAGCTGCTCACCTAAAAGTGCCAATGCTACTTCCCGCATTCAACACATTGACTACATGCTCCCGCTCGCCGAACTAGTTGCAGAGCATGTTTCAAAGGTAGCTGGGCTTCGAAAAGATAAAGAAAAGGGCTTTACATCATGCCGGGCATACCGCCCATGCCTCCCATTCCGCCACCCATGCCCCCTCCGCCCATCGGCGGAGCCGGTGCTTCCTCTTCCGGCAAGTCCGTCACCATCGCCTCGGCGGTCATCAGGAGAGCTGCAACGCTCTGGGCGTCTACCAATGCCGTGCGCACAACCTGCATCCCACAACCATGGGGTTGGCCGTGCGGTGGGTGGCGGCGATAATGCGTTCCCCGATTAGTTCATGTGTGTCTGCGCGTCGTCCGCTTTATCCTGGGTTCCACTCTACAGCTTTCAGGTCGGGAATGCATACTGTGCCTCTGCGACAGAGCACGGAGCGAGAAAACATTTGCCAAGGTAAGTAGCAGATACAGCTTTGTTGGCGAGGAGGCATGAGCAACCGTCGTTTCTCGCCCAGCCCGCTTCCGAAAACACTTCAGCACACTACACGCATTGTCTGAACTACGTAGGCGTGTTCGATCGTGTCTGGCACACATCGACACGACAGGGCTACGTAGCAGGCTCGAGAACTCAGGAGGATACCTATGCACGTCACGGGAGGGCTTGGGGGGCGAAAACGGGGCTAACGCAGCGGGGGTCGGGCTTCCAAATCGACTGGTGTTGTATCCTCAAGAGTCCCCCCCGGTGCAGGATGAAAACGTCCAAGAACCGCAACGGCACGACGTTCGTACGAGGCGCGTAAAACTAGTGTAAAGTCGTGCGATGTACGAATCTCTACACAACAATTCGCGCCACGTGAGCTCCAGCACCGAATTGTCACGGTCGAACGCCGCAGCTTCCTCGACAGCGCGCAACCCACGCGAAGAACACCGTCGACCTGCGTACTACATAAACAAAGTGTGGCCATGTAGTCTTCCCAAGCATTCTCTGTTTTCAAGTCGCACTGAGAACTACATCCTTTGTTTCGTCAGCTGATTAACTCGGTCGATCAAATAAAAAAAAACGCACCCACACCCACACCCACACATCAACCGCCCCTCCTATTCTCCGGGACCCCCGGTTCGCACCTTGGTAGGGTCGATGATTCCTGCTTGGATCATGTCGCAGTACTCGCCAGTCGCCGCGTTGTGACCCCACTGCGGGTCCTCGGTCTTCAGCAACTCCCCGACCACCACGGCTCCCTCCACGCCGGCGTTCATCGCGATCGTGTGAACGGGCATCCTGTGACGGGGGGGGCGAGGTGAAAAGCCAAATGTACATAATCAAGACCCTGAATCAAACACAAAAAAACGGTGTGACGACTACGGTCGCATTGCTGCGGTGTAACACGAGCAGGACTTCGACAGATTTTCACCATCATGAATGCCACGTTCCACAAACAAGACATCAAATCTGGTGACAACACATTGTTCGACCTGAAAAAATAAAAACATCAACACCGGGTGTTTCGACACTGCCATGTTGCGGTGCGGGGTGGTATCTCGGTGGCCCGTTGTCTTTATCCCAGACTACTCTCTGGTCTTGGGCTCGTGTTTAGCCGCAAAAAATATCATCACCGGTCACCAAAGGATGGTACAGTATTCTGTGAGGAACCTTGCGGTTGCACGAGGTGAAAAAACGTGCGCAAGCAAAGGCGCTTGGAGGCGGCAACGACTAACCTGAGCGCCTTCTCGATGATTTCTACCCCGATCTTTTGGTCCATGTTGGCGCAGGAAGCCTTAGTTGCCTGGGGTATGGGGGACGGCAACAATACAGCAAGAGATGTAAACGGTGCGCTGGGTGAGCGAGGTAGGCGAGGAGTACCAGGGTGAACCAGCGAACAGCCTGGAACATGTGCAAAGGTTGCATGCATGCATGCATGGTAATTCGAAAGACGTGAGCTCGAAAAGAACGCTAAGTATCACGTACAAAATTGCGACGTTGCAAGGCGTTAATGAGATCGAGCCCCCCCAGCAATAGAACAGAGAGCAATTTACATCTCCGACGTCTCCGACACCCCTGACACCCACCAGAACCACAACAACAACGAACGCTCGCTGTGATTCGGTGATTCTGTCTACAGGGACAGGAGTGGCCGCGGTAGGCAAAGACAGGGGGACTGCAAAACCCAACGATTCCTAACGCCTGGGTATGCCCTACCCCCATATGCTCTCTTCGGACTGCTTAAATAACCTTGCCAAGCGCCCTTCGTTAATGCGCGTTGTTCAATCCGTCGAGGGGCTTGAAGCACAAACCATTACTAGAAAACATGTTTGACCAGCCAAGCCCCAACACCGGCGTTTCGCGACAAAAGTGTTGCAAGGGCGAAGTGCTCTCACGTGCGTTGGTTGCGTCATCAACGATATCACATTCTTCATTTACAAAACGCACAAAAAAACGACGACTTTTCCCTCTCTACTGTTGTGGTACGCAACGCACTTAACTTTGAGGTCTCCTTCGCGGCGCCAGAACATGCTACAGACACCCTACACCCACCTCAAGTTGTCGAGACGCCCACAGAAGTGCGCTGCCCCCGCCTGGCACAATTCCCTCCGACACAGCTGCTCGGGTGGCGTTAAGGGCGTCCACGAAACGGTCCTTCTTCTCGCCGACCTCCACCTCCGAGCTGCCTCCGACCTGACAAAGCGGTCGTGGGGCGTCGGCGGCATTTCAGCAAACGGGCGGTGCCGGTTCTCGACCCTCCACAAATACACAGCTGCACGAATACGACAAGCACTACTTGCGGCAAGCATAGCGGCAGGGATCCACTCGGTATACATAGGGTTTGCCCTTGTTTCAAGCATGTTCACCACAGCCGAGGAGACGCCCAAATGGCCCCAGAATTTTCGAAGCTACGCCTTGCCAATTCGGTTACGCGGTAACGTCTTCGCATGGATGGAAGAATTTTCGTACTCATTTGTATCGCGCGCCACCCATCTCCCTTGAGTTTGGCCTCTCAAACAACGCCAAATTCCGTGTAACGCAAGCTCTCGCATCGAAATACGTTCAATGACTGAAAACACACCATGTGCCGAGGCCCGTGTCCCCCAACTCACACACCCCGTCAGCCGCATGTGCGCCGTAAAAACGTCAGTCGCAAAACAGGTAACACACAATACCTTGATGACGGCTACGCCGCTGTGCAGCTTGGCCAGGCGCTCCTCCAGCTTTTCCTTTTCGTAGTCGGACTTGACGCGGGCGATGCTCTCCCGCAAGAGGCTGCACCGCTCCTCGATGCCGTCCCGAGCACCTGCTCCGTCGAGAATGATACTGTCGTCCTTCGACACCTTCACCTGTTGAAAAGCGAACCATGGCGGTGCCGAGTAGGTGGCGGTTGTCAGGCGGGGTCACAGCGATAGACCCACTATTAATAGAACACAAGTTGGGAACATTCTTGCTCCATGTATTTGTCATGTTGGCAGTAGACCAGGAATGTTTTGGAGCCAACTAAAAAGAGCGAGCCAAGAGGGGAACACAGTACGACCGCGTTGTTTCGGAGTCCAGAACGGGACACAACGTAGACACATCCGTACACGAAGGAAGACAGGAGCGTGTGGGTAACGGCCCACTAGCAGCAAACCCCGATTTGAAACATACTAAACAGGAGCATTACTGCGCATGCAACGTCGTTTCTACCTCCAATCTTCCGTCCCAAAACTTGAGAACCTTTCACGGACGTGGTGAAGCTCTGCTCAATGAGCCAGCCCGAGCGACAAACACAACTGCGACGCTCCTTGACACACCATGCACGACAAACTCACGAGCTTGCAGGTCCCGCAGTGGTCCGGAGTGGCGTCCTCGAGCTTCAAGCCGACCTCCTCGCTGATGACCTGCCCGCCGGTGAGCACGGCGAGGTCCTGCAAGGTGGCCTTGCGGTTGTCCCCGAATCCGGGGGCCTTCACAGCGCACACCTGTTTTCATGTGTAGATACGGTAAGTTTTTTTCGGGGGATTTCGACGAGATTGTACGGATTGTATCGAGCTTTTCTCCTAGATATGATTGGTTTAGAATTTTTCGAAGAGATGTGGATCACACCAAGCTCTTATTCCAGCCGCATGGATCATGTCAAAGTTTGATCCCCTTCCCTTGGGCATACACCGGAAAAGTCCACCAAACGAAACATGCCGCAAAAAGAGTAGCCTCCTTCATCCCATCCGACAGAGCGACATCCTGCGTCGAAATTAGGGCAAAGCTTCTTGGCGTCCTAGAAAAATGCATCACACGCGCCCCAGCAAAAACGTTCACCAACGCACCACAAACAGACCGCCGATCGGTGGCCATGCTGGCGAAATCCGAACAACTTCTTGCGCTCACCCCCAACCAAACCCCTTGAAAAACGAATCCCCAACCCACTCGAATACCCAACGCACACCAATTAATTGCGTCTCCGACGAAACGGAAAAAAAAAAAACATCCAAACTATGCATACATTAGGCAAATGTTCAACGCTGCGTACCGGTGCAACCGTTTCGACGTCTGGGTGTACCTCGCACCGGCCTGCGCCGTGTTGAGAATATACGGGCGAGTTTGATTCGCCAGTCCCATAGACAATTCTAGTACCAACGACCGAAACGGCTTGCCCGCGTCCGATTCCTCAACTCCTCGAGCTTCAAATCAACGACCATGGGCGTCTGTTTACTACTGCGTCAACCCCAAACTTGAAAACAATCTTCTCTGATTGCCGCGAAACTGTCACCGTAGCCCCAACACCAAGTCTCTCAAAAAACGCTACTCCGAGGAGTTGGGCGACAGGATCAGCAGCTGCTGAAGCTGGGACGGCAGAGGTGTGAGGCATGACCGCAGGCAGCTGAGGAGCCATCGACGGCACAACATCACGGAGTATATAGCCATAGCCCAAGGACCAGATCCGTCACCATCAACGGTTTAATGCGCATGGTGATTATTTTTGCCTTCGCATGCCACATCCTCCGTCATTTGTGCCTTCGGCGGTTCCTCTCAACTGCGGTCATCCTCGGTATGCTCCAGCACAAGAAGTTGCTCATCCTGTTGCCGAACTACCGTTTTCCCAACTCGACAAGAAGTTGCTTCAGCACACGCACAGAAAACACCACCCGCGCTGCCTTCCCAGGACGTTGACATGTACTGGAGAGAGTAGAAGGGAGAGCAGAGAGGCAAAGGGAGCGTGGAGCCCTCCTGGGGGCCCCGTCTCCGACTGCCCTACTAAGATAATAACACAAATCCGCATGACCCCCCGAATCCTCGTAGTTCCGTGTCGAGTGTGGAGTACTCGAAACACGAAGGAATGCCAGGGCTCCGCCCATCATGTACCAACATCAGAGTAGCCTGTGCTCTCGATGTCGGTGCTGACACGTCGACCTATCGTCGCGCGTACCTTTCGGCAGCTAGGGCGCTGAGAACGTCAATAAACCACACGCCTCTCCGGGAGTTTGCCGGTCCTTTGAGGGCGCACAGCACTGTTCCGCATCGAGTCTCCCTCAACTAATTGTTTTCGCAGGGTAGGAAACGCGTCGCGGCCTTCCACAAAAATACACAAGAGACAACCTTCAAAATATGTTGTTGCCAACAATGTCTATCGGAAGTATGCACACGCCCGGCGACTACACATCGAAACCGCAAACAAAACCCACTACGACGACAGCGACAACGATCACCCACCTTGATGCCGGCGCGGAGCTTGTTGACCACGAGCGTAGCCAGTGCCTCCGAATCCACGTCCTCCGCCACGATTAGCAGCGGCCTCTGGGACTTCACCGTAGCCTCGAGTAGAGGGATGATCGAGCTGATCGTCGACACCTTCAAACAACAGTCACCGGGTTGGTGATGAACGACAGACGGGGACGAGGTGGAAAACCAGTCCGTAGATGAAAATGATTGTAGGCCGTGAGAGAGAAAGTGGGACAAGAAACAAAAATACCGCTGTGTTACCTTCCTCTTTTGTGACCCCGGTACACGTCAATTTCATATCAATATCAACGACGAAACGTGAAGACTGGTGCCAGAACACGTGGGACGACATGAGCTAGCAGGTCATGGTCTTTGTTGTTGTCGTCTTCACACTAAAAACCGTTCCGTTCTCTCTGCCCAGTACCTTTGTTAGACAGTGCCCAGCCAGTTGGCGCGATCGATGCTAACGCTCCTAGGACAGCCACGGCAGTAGGAGCAGAACCCGCCCGCGCTCCACTCACCTTCCGCTCCACGATGAGGATCAGGGGGTTCTCCATCTCGCACATCTGGGTCTTGTTGTCGGTTACAAAGTACGGCGAGATGTACCCGCGGTCGAACTTCATCCCCTCCACCACCTCGATCTCGTTGTCCAAGGTCTTGCCGTCCTGTTAGATGCGGGGATACACACAAAAAACCCGGTCCACCCCGATGCACGGAGTTTATTTACAAAGCAGACACACCCAGGTGGGTTAGCATGGTCTTGGGGTTGGGCGGGGGGGGTCATGAAAACGTACGGCAGTTCTCTTGGTGCTGGTTCAAAGGATGGCGCCAACGAGCAGCACAGATCTACATGCCGACAATCAATGCGAACGCTTTGCGAACACGGCGGAAAAAAAATAGACAACGCGCAACCTTCAATGTGAGTGCAGCACGGGGCCTCGGCCGATTTAACACCCAGTGTGGCACCCGTCAAACCGCCTCTCGGCTACGGAATGCTGCACACCACCCACGTCGCCGCAGTGTGGTTGGCCTGACACACCCATGCCTGAAAGCCTGATGATGCTCACCTGCACCGTGATCACTCCCTCGTTGCCCACGCGCTCCATGGCGGAAGCGATCAGGTCGCCGATCTCGGTTTCGCTGCAGCACAAGCGAGGAGAGGCGGGCCACCGTTAGCCAATCAGCAATCACCATGCTTTTTGTATCGCTTTAGGTCTTTGGGGGGGGGGGGTTACCTACGGCCGTGAAAATCAGTTCAGTATGTGGGATGGTAAGGGACATGAGGTCCACGACTGCGGCTGAAGGCTGTTCATGATCGTAGTGAGTGAGAACAAACGCAGTCTGCCAGACCGCTCGGCTACAGCGCAGCGTCTATGGCGGCGTATTGTAGTCTTGCCACGCTGGAACGACGGCTAATACGAAGGCCCACCAACTGGATGCACCACACCTCAAGGAACATCCGCTACAATCAAGGTGCCAATATTCAAAACAACACTCCGTGCTCATGCCTTCTGCTTCTATCGAGCACGTTAGCAGCGGTGATTTCGGCTTCGGAGAAGAGCGTAAAGGGACTGGGCCTCTTCTTCACCTCGACTACTACACCACAAGCCACAAGCCGAGACTTTCCCCGTAAGCCAGAAGAGAGTTTCCTGCGCGTGGGAAGGAGTCGCACAGGCGTGCCAAGCACGCCGCACGCTAAAAAACCCTCGCATGTGAAGTCATGGTAGTCAGTAGCAGCACACCTGTTGGCAGAGATGGTCCCGACCTGCGCCACCTCCTCCTTTGTGGAGATGGGCTTGCTGATGTCCGAGAGCACGTTCACCACATGGTCCGTGGCCAGCTTGATCCCCTTACGAAGGTCCATCGGGTTCATCCCCGCCGCTACCGCCTGGTGGGCGCGAGCACGGCGAACAGTCCGCGGACGAGTTCGTCATTACAGTGGGAGGGGGCTCAATAACGCCGGTGCGAATATGGCGAATCGACCGGCGCGATTCAGAAGGTCGGTGCTATGCAATGTACAGTATGACTAGGTGATTCAGTCTTTGCCCTGGAATTTAACCGGCGCTATACCGGGCCACCGGTGCAATCAACTGGCGTTGTTGACCCCCCCACACTGTTCAGGGTGGTTCTGCATGCCTATCGTCAAACCGAACGTGTCATGTGAATCGAATTCCAACAGCCACGCGAGGAGTGTCGCCAAAAAACGTCGAAGACTGACGACCAGCTGGTGCTACGGCAGCAGTGGGGACGGCTAAACAACAAAATTTCCGCCCGAGGTCGCGAGAGGAACCCCCAAGAAGCTGCTCCCTACACTGCACCAGCCAAGGATCAAGACGAGACCAATCATCCAACGACCGCAGCCTCTCGGGTTGTAACGCGACCATCCACACGCCGTACGCACAGGAAAATAGGTCATGGTAGACGTTGAAACAAGACGACGCTCAAGGTACCTCGCCCCTACAATGAAAATGATGTTTCCACAAGACGATGCCCCAGATCCCCCGGCCATAGCATCAAAGAACGACCTTGTAGCAAGACGCTGCTACAAGATGTCTCGACCCCACCCTTAAAGAACACGCTATCGTCACCACCACGCTCCGAAGGAACAAGAAAAATAACTCATCCTTCGATGCTCCCATATTGTAGTCGATGGGTAAACAAGTTGATATGTTGTGAAAAAAAAAAAGTGTGACGCTTGTCTGGACCATGTATCGTACCTTGCATCCTTCCCGGAAAATTGCCCGAGTCAGCACGGTAGCGCTAGTCGTCCCATCTCCCGCTGCGTCGTTGGTCTTCGAGGCCACCTGCGATATGGCAGAGAGCGGACAAAACCAGTACCGTTCCGCCAAGCAACCAACAACCAAAAACGGGCGGTGAGCAAGGGGAGAGCGTCGAAAAACAGCAGAGGGAATGGGCGCCTTTTGCCGTGCGAGAGTCCACCCAACGACCAACAGCGTGCTGTTTGTGGATCGCAGCACGTCGGGGGGGAGAGGGGGGGGGAGGGGGGGTATGCGTGTTGCGCCTTGAGAGGACTCTATGGGCGATATGCCTTTTCTGCTACAACTCTTCACAAACATTACACCCTGCGAGGAGCAAAAAATCGTGCAAAAAAAGCCTTCTCTTCCCGGGGGGTGCCCACAGATAGCAAGGTGGAAGGTGGCGAGAGGGGATTGCTCGTGGAGTCTTCAGGGCACAGCACTACGACTGCTATGACTGTTGTGGACACAGGATGGCGTCGAAAATGCTTGGCATTGACGGGGGAACAGGAGCGACATGTGGTGGCATCAAGGATCGTGTCCGAAAGCACAAGCGTAATTCGTCCAGCTGAAGAATCAGACGAAAATACACGGTCAAGGCCGCCAAACGTATGCATGACGGAGGCATCCTTTGCCTGGAAATGCCTACACCAGTGCCAGGTCTTGCAAGAAATATTACTTCCCATGGGCGTTGCCGAAAATTCGAAGGCAGTGCCAACGTTCCATCATCCAATTGTTGGTCGTCTGTATCTCCCCGCTTCTCGGGACAATTCTTGAGGCCGTACACACGCCTCTTCCAGGGGAACACCCTTGCATCGTGCCACCACTCCTCCGAGTCGAACAACCCGCCATGCAATGTACTGTTACCACCCATCCGAGCGTAACAATCCGGTAAAAACCGCATGCAACCGACGAACAACCCTGCATCGCACTACATACCACTCCTCCGAGTCAAACAACCCGCATGCCGTCGACGTTGCTGCTGCTGCACAGCGTCGGAAACCGAGCCGTGTTCAGTGTTCACACCTGTCGCACGAGCTGCGCTCCCATGTTGTGGAACTTGTCCTTGAACTCGATGCTCTTGGCCACTGTCACACCGTCCTTGGTGATGCGCGGCACGCCGTAAGTCTGCTCCAGGATAGCGCTCCGTCCCTTCGGGCCCATGGTCACCTGCCATGTTCGTTTCCGCGACAAGCGCGAGGTGGTTGGTGCGTTCGCATGCAGGGTTTAGGATAAGCAGAGCCCGTGAACACGCAGCAGCTTTCGTCGCCAAAAACGTCGGATCTGGATGCACAATAAAAAAACAAGGACACACGACGAGTTGCCGCCACGTTCAATCGATAGCGACAGAATAAGTTGCCGCCAAGTTTTAGTACGGCTTGAAGGTGGCCAGTGGTTCGTCCTATTGGTTGTGGCTATTGCAGGGTACGGAAAATGCCGAGGTGCTTCCTCCCTCCAAGCACGGTCCGCTGCTGATACTGCTGTACACCCCTGATTCCATCGCCAGGCTTTGCTTTGCTTCCCCTGTCATCAGGAAGACAAAAAATCGTCCTCCAGTTCGAACGACTCCACCCAAACACACACACACACGGCCGTCTGCTACTCTCGACTCCACCATAAACAAGCAGCCGTGTTGATTGCCTCTCAGGGCTAAACACTCGACACACACAATGTTCTCGATTTGTGCCATTGTCGCCCGGTTGTTCTAAATTGAACCAGTTGCCCAAGGCCAACCCCCGTCGTTTACAGCCGTGAAAAGAGCTGCGGGTTTCAGCAGCTTCCACGAAGGGGCAAGCACTGAAGCAAGCATTCGAATAAGCCAACGAGGTAACAGCACATACGACGGTTGGGGGTGGTGAAAGATATCTACAACGGACGTGCGAAGTTGCACCGCATTTCGTGGGACCTTTCCGCGCGTTGCAATGCCGGCCTCTTCAAACAAACTGCAACATTGCCGCCGGTAGGCGTGATTCGTGCACATCCTCAATGCGGCCAGTTGCATGCAGCAGAGCAGACCCGCAAGTCGGGGGACCGAGCTAACGAGAGGCCATTGCGACGTGATAACATTTCAATCCTCTGCTGTGCACACGGACGGACGTGCCGCGAGCACAACCGTACACACCTCCTACAAATGTACAATGGTCCGCATCGGGAGCAATTTTTTTCTAGAAGCGATGCGCAGGCCGCCCTTCGCTTCGTCTGAAAGCAACGGGCTCCAACAATGACAGCATTCCACACAGCAGCTGCTGCTAGACACGGGCCTTCTTGCGTCATGAGGCCATCTCGACAGCCGGAGAATGGCGGGTGGCTGCAGATGAACAGCTGTGGATGCACGGCGTTGAAACTTACCCCCCGTCAGACAAAGCACTAAAACGCCCCGCCGCACCGCAACTTGAGGGACTTCACTGAAGTTGACCTCAAGACTTGGACCAAGATTTGGACCTGCCGCTTGAGTACCGATTTCAAGCACCGAAGCGACGGGTACGCAACAACATCTAGGGTGCCAGATCAAGACCGCTGTGCCTATGCATGTCCGGCTCAGACTCCACGCAATGACACGTGGGTTCTGCTGAAGGTTCTGCTGAAGCAGCAGAGCAGCACCACACACACACCAGTTGAGGTCTCTTGAGGATTGCAACACCGGATCCGGCCAGGAAAAAGGGGGCAAAGGGCGCGAGCGTCCCGCCACGACAGCACGCACAGCAAGGCCGGCAGCAGCAGCACTCTCGCGAGAGCCTGGCGGCTTGCTCACCTGCACAGCGTCAGCGAGCATGTCCACGCCCTGCAGCATAAGCGCCCTCCCCTCCACCCCAAACTTGACATCCTTGCCCGTTGCGAGCCTACGGACTGAGCCCGCGGTCGCGCGGCGAGCAGCCAGCGCGCTTGCTTGTCGCAGGTACATGATTCTCTGTGTGTCGCAGATGAACGGTGCACTATCTGTTCGGCGTGTGGAGCACAATCAACACCCTGAGTGTGCACGTAGGGCGGTGGTGAATGCCCTCCGGGGGGCGACGCAGACCGCAGAGAGGGGCACCGCGATTTGCGTGCGGGCTGTTGGGCTACCGTCCCGGAAGGTCTGTATCTCTGCTACTCATGTTTTACTACTGACGTACACCATCTTGCCATGTCTATCATAGATGCTATGGCTAGAGAGAGAGAGAGAGAGAGAGAGAGAGAGAGAGAGAGAGAGAAAGAGAGAGAAGTGCCTTCAGCTGCGAATGTTTAGGTCATTTTGGTGCTGGCCGCTGAAGCCATACCTCAAGTTTTTCTGGATAACGCGTGAGGATACTGCTCTGTTTCCTTATCAATGAGCGGACAGGCACTTGGTTATACGTCGACTACATATGTACTGAGCTGTAAATTTGGGATGTTAGGGAGAAGAAGTGAAGGTCATGAGTTTAAAGGTTTTTAACTGGCGAGACCCACGAACGAGCAGGGCCGGGTGGGGGGGGAAGAGGAAGAAAATGATCACATTAATGGTTGGTTGTTGCGGAGGCCTTTCCCTTGATTGAATCCTCCCACGAAAGACATGCGCAGTCCACAGAAAGACAGGAACGCCCGGCCCGTTATGTGAATGTTGCTTCTCCGCGAAGCTCTCGAGCTGCAGCTCTTTTTGCACATTGGGGGTTTCTTAACGAAAGTAAGAGAACAGAGGATGATACAGTGCAAAGCCCATCAAAACTAGACGGTGATCTTTGTTTGACAGCGATCACCAAAAACGGTGGTGTGCGTCCGGCAATATTCCGGTCGTCGGTTTTTTTACGGTCACAAGAAGTCGCCCAGACACCTCAAGCCGTGACCCACCCAACAAACGCTGAACATTGAGTTACGAGGGCCATTGTACCCTGCCCTAAAACGGTTCGAATCCGCCACAGCAGTGACGGGAATTACCACCACCGCATTTTCTGCAGACCTCAAGAGCTCGAGGCACTATAGTCGGTAAAACCTTGGCCAATCCCGTGCAATGGGAGACCGAAATTGAGTCATCACCAAAAACCGCCGACAAACCCCTCTCCCGGGCGTGTGCGCAACACGCGCTTTGCACCCCAACCGAAGGACTCGCGGCGTGACGAGCCAACTGAAAACACACATACTGTTTCCAACCGCACTGAGACTGATATATTTTCATTGGTCAGCTGGTTATGTAGCGCGGTCGACGTCAATTCAAAAGGCACGCACCGGGCAAAACAACAATCAAATCGGCTATCTCTCCGACCGTACTCTCAGACCTCGAAGCACTTGTGACAACAACTAAAAACAAGATTACTTGCGCGGTCCCAAGACCATGACGCTCGCCTCCTCCGCTAACGATCCGAAAAAAAAACTCAAGCTAGATACAATTAGAGAGAAACGTCGCGTACACTAGGAAAACCCCCTCTTTCCTAGCAAACACCACAACCACCACAACATTTGTTTGTATACAAACCCGGAGACTACACCAGAGTACCCGCGTCCCCTCTCCCCGCAGGCCGAAACGTAACCGCGCCGCTCTGCTCTCCTCCAACCCCCTGATCGGGGGACTCCGCGGCCCGCCCACGTCTCACCAACGTGCCGGCCGCCCGCTGAGCCACGCCCTCAACCCAACCCCACGCCGCCGCGCCCCCTCCGCCGGCTGCACCAGCGCCCCGCTTATCCACCCCGCCGTCGCCGCCAACCTGCCGTGCCGACACTCCATCGTCATCCTCAGTCTTGACATTGCGGCCACCGGGGACAGCGGCGCGTAGTGGGGCGGGGGCGGCGGCGCGGCGGGAGGTGGCGGGGGCGAGCGGCGGGGCGGAGGGACCCCGCGCACCGGTACCGGCACCGGAAGTGGTGTCCATGCAGCGCCGGAGGACCTTTAGCTCGTTTTCCGCCTTATTCGTTGCGAATTTTCAGCACGCGCCGGCGGTGGGGAAAACGAGAATGGAAGTTTGATAGTCCGCGCTTCGAAAACGATGCAGCCGGCGCAGGGCGGACGCTAGTGCTAGCGCATGTTAGTGCCAAGTTGAGCCACGCTTCGGTGTGCTGTCGAGACGCAGCAACACCTGGTTCAATATAAGTACACAGCAGTGAAACCCGTGCCAACATCGTGGCCGATTCGGTCAATAGAGCGCACGCCCCCCCACCCCCGCTTTTGTCTCTAACGCAAAGATTCATCGCAACCAAAAGAACGAAAGCACACATAGCAGCGGCGTTTGAAGAACAGCCAGGTTTAGGGTTCTCGCATACATGTACCCGTCCCCCGGATACGAAGACCACAAACACCGCGGCTCCGCGGACAGTGTTGTCGAACCTCTACCGCACCTCTATCAACTTTCCCTGGAGAGCGTCTCCTCGCATTCGGTCCTTCCTGCCAAGCGCGCATGCCATCCTTAGCTTCGGCTGAAGTGGGGCGAGGAACGCTACCTGGCTCTCCAAAGCCGTCATCTGCGCAGAGAGACGCGTGTACACCACGAAACAGAGGGTGGGTTTTTGGGCGGCTCGAGACGGGGGTCGTGCTGGCAACAAAAAAGGAGGATGGGGTTGCAAGAGGCACACGTGTGGCGCAGCGCCATAGTTGCCTCCCACGGTGCTCGCAAGTGACCCATCTGAACGGTAGACCCGCGTCACCTGTCGCTGCTGTGTCACGACCTGGCGGCTTAGCTTGCGCACCAAGATCTCCATGCTGCTTAACCTGTCGATGGCAAGAGGGAACACGACGACATGTTACGCTTCGGCATGACCAAAATCTGCATGACATGTAGCTCTGCACGCGCCACCACAGGGTCAACTCTCTCGAGATTTTCCCTGGTGAACAACCAAACAACACCAACACCACCCAACATTGGCGATAAAAAAGAAACAAGAGCCTCTGAAATACCCCGCCAGTCTGCCTTCCATGTCTCTAGGCGCTCCGCAAACTCGTGCGGTGCAACAAAACGATGTTGGTATTCCCCCTCCCCCGGTGCGCGCTCTCTCTGCTCACCGTCGAATCATCTCCAACACGCTCGTTGTGCTATCCCGAGCACCATCCACCATCCTAACCATCCGCAACCTAACAAGCCTCCGTCGCCTCAAACCCCAGCCCCCGCCTGCCCCATCGCTGCCCCCTCCAACGGTAGCAGCCGTCGTTTGCCGCCGCGGGCCCTTGGCGTCTTCCTTGGTTTTATTATCGGCGGTGGAAGCCATGTCACCATCGCTGTAGTCGCCGGTAACCGACCTCAGCTGCTGCTGCTGCTGCTGCTGCTGGGTGGGGGGGGGCGGCGATTCATCCCCATGTTGCGTATTTTTAGGTCTTGGTTCTGGCTCGGGAGTATCATCGCCGACGCCGGCGGCACCTACTGTAGCGTCAGCAGCGCTGCTGCTGCTGGTGATCTCAGGACTGCTGCTGCTGCTGCGCATGCCGTTGCTGTACGAAGATTTTTGGCCGAGAGCAATCTCCGAAATCTCCGAAGGCGACCGGCCGCAGATCCAGCCGTCTTGATCCGACGATGCTTCCGTCTCGGAGTCAATCATCCAGCCCCCGACCCACTCCCAGTGATGGCTTGGGAGCTCCACGTCGTCCAGCTCGAAACGGCTGTGGGGGGACGGGGGGGCGACGGTAAGACGTACACTCCCACAACGGTACTTGAATGAACATAACGATTGGGGGCCCATAGGCGAGGCTCCGTTTGTCGCCAATTCCCGGCATAGGGGCTAACCTAGGATGAAGGGTGGGATGATCGGATTTACCGCTCCGGAACGTTTACTATCCCCATCTTCTTTATCTTCGCGGAAACAAATCGCCTGCTCCTCGTATTGTATCGTACGTTCGGGCACCAACCGTAGTCCGGGACATGGGGATTTTGGGCCAGGAGAGAGATACCAACAAACGCTTTGGTAGCCAATTCAAATGGACCAATCTTGTGTAAGGATTGTACGTGCCTTTCTCGTCCTCTTGTTGCCCAGTCGGGCACGAGGGGGTGTGGCGGTGCGTCACAGTTTAGAGGTTTTCGGGGGGGTACTACTCGGACTATCGTAGCAAGTCCTCCTGCTCACGACCACTTTTCGCGAGAACGTTAGGGGTGAGTGCTGTATGCCAGGGTTTCGTGCTGCGTACTTGCGTACATAGCGTCCGCGAATATCCGCTTCCTGACACGGGCCACAGAGTCTGAGCGCATGGTACGAAACAACCCCAATCAGCCACTGGTTTGCTCTAGTCTGTCTCTCACTTTACGCGCACTCAAGCAGCAGCACGGCCAACGACTTATAGAAGCAGCAGCAGCAGCAGCAGCAGCAGCAGGAAAACAGCAGCAGGAAAACACCAGCCTAACTTACAAGGTCACGCCCTCGTCGGTTACCATGCGCCAACCCGGGGCGCCGCCGATTCCACCGCCCAGTCCCCTCCCCGCCGCCGCCACCGCCGCCACCGCCCCGCCAATCTTATCCCTCAGCCCGCCGGCCCTAGCGTCGCTCCCCGCCTGCCCCCCAGCTTCTGATCTCGCGTGGTCAGCCGCGACGGAACCGGTTTGGGCTAGTGCGGGAGAACGGGATCTCGAAGACGATGGCGACGACGATGATGGGCTTGACGTGGACTGCGGAAGAGACGAAAGCGACTGCGGGGGCGGCGGCGGCTGTGGCGGGGGATGTGGTCCCCCGAGGTGGTGAAGCGGGAGAGAAGAGAGCTCGGTTGGAAGGGTGCCGAGCCTTGAGCTCCATGCTCCTCGGCTGTCGGAAAGGGACGCCGCAATCGACGATCATGACGTGCAAGGGGGTGGACGGAGGTTACTTGTCCATCCATTTTCTATGAATCTTTTGGGATACGGTTCTGCAGCTCATGCGTGTGACCCCCCCCAAATAAAAGCGCGCGTTTTAGAGCACAACCAAAAATATTAAACACATTAGAGTCGCACATCGCACATGACAGGCTTCTTGCGGCATGCTTCTCTCAGCACGGCGGCGTAAGCCGCCGAAAATCCTGTTATAACTGGGCATCGCCGCCCGGAAAAGGGGCGTGCCAACGACTACCATACCCTCCTCTACCTGTCTTTTCCCTGCCACTCGAAACAGGCCTCCTCCTTCCGAATACCCTCAAGGACAACATCCGCCCAAGGTGTCCGGTGGAGCAGCAGCAGCACGGAGGGATTCACACCAGGAACGTCCCGCAGGAGGGGATCCAAGTCTACCGTCCCCTGGATCCTCGTGGTTGTGGCAGAACCTTGCCCCCATCCTTGGGTTTCCTCTCGTGACGAGGCGTGGCTGAGAGACTGGACAATGTTCTTCAACTGTTCCACCTGGAGTTGGGACGGATGAAGGTGCGGATGTTGCAACGAGGTGTCGCCGTGAAAAGCACCGGCAGAAAAAATTGGACGGCCCAAAATCGAGTTAGCTTCGGGCAAAAGTTGTTGACGACTTCCGAGTGCCCGAAACAGCCGCAAAAAAACTACCGCTTCCACGAGAGGGAGGGGGCAAGAAAGCTTGGCGCTGTTGGAGACGGGGTGCGGGAGGCAGTCGAAATTCAGTCCAGCGTTACCAATAAATGTCCCCCCCATGCCGCCCACCGCCCACCTGTTTAGCAAACGAATGGTGCTGTATACCATGCATGTCCACCGCAAGGTCTAGTTCCCACGGACTTCAAACCGCCCTACCAACATTGCAGCTGAACTTGAGGATCAACCGCGTAGAAATAGTCGTGCTTCCACCCAATGCTGGCTGCGGTTTCGAGTGTCAAACACTTTGGAGGCTGCCACTGAGTAGCCGCGGCAAAGATCGTCTGGCTTGGCCCCTGACTGTGACCGCTCCCGTGTTGAGGGATTGTGTCACCACCCTCACCTGCACCTCCAGCCGGATGGACCGGTCCGTCTTCTCCCTCATCTCGTCGGCCGCCTCCGCTCTCTGCAACTCCAGCTCCACCACGCGCGCTCTTAGCGCTCCCGCCGCCTGTTCCCTAGCGCCGCCGCCGCCGCCGTTGCTGCTGCCCTTTTGACCATCACCCCCGGGCCCGTCCGCGGAGTTTTTCTGGTTCTCTTGGTCCTCTGTAGCCTTCGTTTCGCTGGCCGGCCCGGGTTTTCCGCCGCCTGTGCCGGCGTTATTCCCGTTGCGGTCATCGTCGGTGGCTCGGCCTCCTCGCACGCGACCTAACCGCCACTCGGAGAAAATCCCTGACGCCGACGCGATCGCACCGCCGCCGCCGCCGCCGCCGTCCTCCGGTGGTGCTTGTCCTGGCTCTCTGCCCACTGCTGTCTTGTCCGCTGCTTGCTGCCGCTCGATCGACTCGGAATCGAACGGGAGATCGTTGCCAGCGGCGGGGCTTGCAGGAGCAGCGGCGGCGGCGGCGGCGGGGGTATCGGACACGTCAGAGCCGACGGTGACCGTGGCCATGATGTCTCGCAGCTCTCCGGAGAGGGCCTCCTCCTCCTCCGTCCTCTCTCGCGCGAGCCGGTCCGCGCGCGCCCTTTCCTGATCGAGGTTGACCTGCCCCCAAGAAGGTTCACAAAATCGCATCCGGCGGCGGTGTTGCACGGTACGGCCAGAATCAACCGACGGGCACACGTTATATGTGTTGCAGAGCCGCAAGAAATGGCCTTATCTAGTGGTGCTGCTGCTGCCTGCCGAAAAAGTGCCGCCAGGAGGGTAACAACACAGATGAGAGATGGAAGGTTCACAACACGCCGCTATGTAAATGGTATACAGCAGTCCTGCTGGTCGGCTACTGCTGTAGACTATGTTTTGAATTCAAATATGCATACATATGCTTCCCCTCGATTGAAGCAGGCAAACACCCTTTCAATACTCACAACACAACATGTGGGCACATGTTGCAATATCGTGCCTCCGGCGTCCTACAGTCGCATCTCCATGGCTTCGTTTGTAGAGGCAAGCAGTTAGGCAGGCGGCCCATGTTCTGTCCCATCGAACTGGTACTGGTAGACTAACGTTCAGGAATTGCGCCGCACTTGAACCTCGATAAAGAGTCGAGCACAAACCAGCAGTCGGTAGCTCGCTCCCGTGGTGTAACCAAGTTCACACCTGACAGGCAGACTGCTCCACCTTGTCGTCGGCCTCACCTCTAGCTCGATGACCTTGTCGCACCTCCGCTGCAGCTCCGCCAACAGGCTGGCCGTTGTTTCCTCCTGTTCGTCTCGGGATTTTCGCAACGACAACACCTCCGTCTCCAGCGACTGCAGCAGCAAGTGGTTGCCATTCTCAGCTCCTTCTGCCCCCCCTGCGTCTCCTCTACCATCGTCCGAGGCCATAGTGTGTGGGCAGAGCGTTTAGATGGTCTCCTTGTCTCCTTGGTTATGACAATGACCGAATAGCAGTCTGCTCTGGTCTGCCTGCTGCTCATCAAGTGCAGCCTGGGGGGTCCGCGGTATAGATTGCCCATATGGAATGTCCGAGCTATCAGGTCAGTGATCAGTGATCAGCTGCTCAGCTGCTGCACAGCAGCTGAGCTGTGCTCGCCAAACTGCTGTCGAGCCATGTCTGTTGCTTTCAACTCAGGACCGTCTGCTGCGCCACTGGCGAGGATGATAGCAGCCTTCGTTGCGTCACGCGCGGGCCGACCACCGTCGGCCAGCAGCCGAGATGGCGGCGGCGGCATCAGAGATCGCGGCACCAGAGCAGCTGCGATGTCGTCGTTGCCGTACGGCCTTTGGCGCGACAGAGGCGGCACACTTGACATCACGAGTGCGCAGAACCCTAAGGTCAAGCTCATGAGGTTCGTGCGTGCGTTGCGGCGTGTCTGTTGGTGTACCTGTGTTGAACTGTAACAGAAGACATCAGTGTGGAAAGTGTCATGTCATGTTTGACGGAGCTTCCTGAACCTTTACCTCGCAGAGCATTGTCTTGAGTCCTGTGTTGCTGCCAATGGGTTGGATGCAGAACAAAATAGAGCCCAACCTTACCAATGGCATTCCCCTAGGTATCGCAATAGTAGGTGCGAAGCGTCGTAAGCTATTCGGTGACAATTACGCCAAACCTGCCGCAAGTTGATTTTGAATTCCCCGCAGAAGATCGCCGCTCACAAGATCACACTCGTGTTACACTTGAAAGTTTGCACGTTCTGCATCGCACCTGCATTCGGTTTATCGACTACCGTTGGGTGCCCTCGCTCGACACACCACACGCCGCTGTATCCCTGTTCGACTACCGCGCTAACACGACCCAGGTCCTTCCATAAGCGACGGACCCGCGACGACGGTGGAAAAATCTTGGCCGAAGGCCACCGGCTGGTGTGCGACCTCATCGAAGGCGGCCTCACTCCGACCCTGGTCATCGTGTCCCCTGAGGCGAGTTCAACTTTGTCTCTCTCTCTCGTGCTTGGAAGTACTCGACCAAACGCTGGCAAAGTGATTGCGTTTCTCAACACAGCAGTAAGAGCTCGAGGAGTGCGCGCACGTTTCTTCAGTACGGGATTGAGCATCACTGTATGATCGCATACGTTTTGTGGGAGAGGCCTACCGCCGTTCATGTGTTGAAGCCTCCGCTGGTTTGGCACACGTGGTGGCGCTTCTTCGGGAGCGTTGTCTTGGCCGACGACATTGCTGCCAAGGCGGCTCTATACGAAGGAGTTTCAAGTAGTGGTGACGAAAACTTGGGGGGGGGGGGCGCTGTCGGGGGGAGGCAACACAGGCGCAACAGGGACAAAACTAGGTATGGATCGTCTGTGGAAACAAGGCGTTGTCCTCACCCCCCGCCCCTCGCACCCCTACTCCCTGTTAACGGTTAGGTCGTAGTTGTCGCTTCAGCTGTCGTCGTCGACGTTGTCGTTGCCGTCGTCTTCTCCGTAGTCGGTGTTGTAGTGTCTTCGCCGTCGTCGTCGTCTATTGCTGTTGGCGGTGGCAAAGCACAGTGTACCTTGACCCCCGCACCTGCTCCTCCTCCGACGATTTGCAACAGGCCCTGCGCGCGTCCCCGGGCCCCCGGCTGCAGGCCGCATTGGAAACCCTCTCGGCAGACGTCGTCGCCGTCGCCCCCGCGGAAGTCGTCCAGCGGTGCTGCGACACGGTCACGTCGCAGGGGGTGGTGGCGCTGGTAGAGAGGCCGGTGCTACCCCTGCCGCCGACCCTGCAGACGGTGTTGATTTGCGACGGCATTCAGGACCCAGGTGCGGGAAGCAGATACAATGCATGTGGGTACCTACAAAGAGAGCGAGAGTTGTTTGTGGAGTTTTCGTATGGTGAGGGAAACGAATGTGGTTGCTTCGAACGGAAGAATTGTTTGTGGTGCTTCGAAAGGTGAGGTGTATCTGCGGGTAGGTAGCGTTGTCGCGGACGGGTGCGGGGCGGCAAGTCATCAGCGCGGGTGTCTCGGCGTATAGTTGCCCAACTGGTTTGTCGCAGGATCGTGGAAAAAATGAAACACCATCAGACGTTCTATCGCTCGGACGGACACACGATGGCCAATAACGGCAGTACCCCCCCACCCCCCCCCTGCCTGTGCCCATGTGCGGTCCCCTCCGACACGGCGAAAGGCAACCTCGGGACCCTCGTTCGGACAGCGGCGGGTTTGGGAGCAGACGCCGTGGTGAGCGATGCAACGAAGTAGAGCTGGACGCTGATTGGTCAGCGGCGGGGGTCGGCTTGTTCCGAAACGGTGCTTTGTAGCACGAAAAATAATCGTGTGCTCAGGGTCCGTTCTTGTGGAACTCCCTGTTCGACGCGGGTATGTATAACCGGTAGTGACCCTCCCTCCCGCTGCGTGACCACGCTGGACTATCCCTGTCTGAAAACTGGAACGTATCCGTCGGTTCAGGTGCTGACAGGTTCGTGTGTAGACTACTGGGCGCCGAAGACCGTTCGTGCGTCCATGGGGGCTTCGTTCCGACTGCCGTCCCTGAGGCTGGAGTCTTGGCAAGAGGTCGTAGGTAAGTGTCGTCAAGACGTGGTAGGTGAGAGTCGTCGCTGCAGCGGCGGCGGCGGCGGTGGTGGCGGCTGCTGTCTGCGGAGGCCGCCGCACCAAATCCATTTCTGTACGTTGTGATACCGCACCGCCTGGACCGATTTTGCAAGCCTGGATTACTCCACGACGAAGAGGGTGCCAAAGTCAAATTATGCGTTGTCGGAAAATCTCTACACGAGGCGGTTCCAATGCCGCCCATTCCGTCATTATCACTTTTATGCTTAAGAAAATTCGAGCTTTGAAAACCGGTCAAGGGAGTGTGGTATCTTGCGTCACCTACGGTACTGTATTACCCTCTGGACACGTGGAAGGGGTCATGTATAACTACGGGATAGCCCGCTCTCTCCCGAATTCCCCCTGACCCACCAACTTTTTACGCCCCCGAACGCTCGCGGAACAAACAGAGTTGATGCGGGCGCGTGGCATCCGCATGTACGCAGCCGATGGGGGCGCGAGACTGTCGCACTTCGACGCCGACTGGACCTCTCCAAGCGCCCTCGTCGTCGGCGCGGAGGCAAGGGGTAAGCCAGATAAGAGCGCAGTGGTAGGGGTACAACGGGGGGGCTACTCACGTTTTGCATGCCTTAGTTATTTGACCAGGGTGGAGCTGTGATACCCATCTTTTCTCGTACGATGCATACCGTATATGACACAAGATAACACACCCCCTGGACCGATTTTCAAAGCTCGATTACTCCACGACGAAGAGGATGCATAAACGAAACAATACATTTTCGAAAACCTCTCGACGAGACGGTTCCAACGCCGCCGTTTTCGGCGCTGTGACTCTTCCTGCTGTTGAGAAATCGAGCTTTGAAAATCGGCCCAGGGGGTGTGTTATCTTGTGTCATATACGGTATGCACGTGGCGGCCCTCTGTGTTGGGGGATAGGGGTTTGTCGCTGAGCCGATCTCCGTTGGCGATGTGCAGAGGTCTGCTGCAGGAGTTAACATAGGAACCTGACGAACTGGTCTCCTCCCACTCCGCCACTAACTGTCAATCCTTTGCGTTGCCCCAGGTCTCAGCGACGCCGCGAGGCTAGAGCTGGAGAGCGGGGGCATCGCGGGGGTCAGCGTGCCCCTGGAGGGGGGGGTGGAGTCGTTGAACGCGGCGGTGGCGGGCGCTATTGTACTAGGCGAGGCGCAGCGGCAGCGTTTGGTGGCGGAGAGGCACGATGGGATTGGGGGGGGGAGAGGGGTGACGGGAGATGGCGAGTTGTCGGGGGCAGTCTCGCAATGATGTCACCACCGTTTCGCGACGCGAAATATCTCATCGTTTTTTCGTGGTTGGCGGAGGACTTTTGAGAAAGTGGTCCCTCATTCCGTTGTGGTTGGTTTTTGGAGGGTGTTGTCCTTGCCGTGATACATTACCGGTGTCAGCACCAGAGAGAGAGAGGAACGGAGGGAGGGAGGGAGGGAGGGAGGGAGAACAGGCGCCCGCCGGCAGATATTCTAATCGGCCAAGGAGCAGTTTGCCGGCCGGGGTGCAACCTTCCGGTAAGTTGTTGGTGCTCGCGGTTGCGACCACCTCACGGAAACAAACGCGTTCACGTGGGCGAGGGGTAGCTCATCAATCTGGCAGTCGGCGATTCAGCCTCGCATCGTGGGTTTTCCAAGGCCCCATCTCGCACGCTCATGTGGTTGAGTCCGTGCGGTACCACGTGCTCGTTTTTTTCTTCTTTTCTCCATCACTTCTAATCTTTTATTCAGAGCTCACTTGCAATTTTCCGGGTATGAGCTCCGATCCGTTGTGCCCCGTGCACGATTAGGGTCTCGAGATGTCCGTTGACATGTGCGTGCTTTGTTGTGCGAGTGGTTGCTCTGAAAATGAGTACGAACCTTGTTAGGCTGTTGTGGTGCGGATATCGGGGCTGTTAGTGCGAGGTATTTCTCTCTCTGTGGGTAACGCGTTTGTTAGCAGTTTACACGAATATTTGTTATTGACGGGAATCGGCGTCGCGAAAAGGCCACCCGACCAAGACGCCTCCGAAGGCGTGTGCGAGCATCTCATGGGCTCAACAAGCAGCGGTGCTAGCCGAGAGAAAACAACGGTACCACGAAACGTCTTCGGGAAACCCTACCGTACCGCATGTGTCAACCGTACCGCATGTGTTTCATGTCTCTTTGCGCCGGGACGTGGCTGCGGGATCATCTGTTCGTCTTGTGGAGATAGGACCGACGACTTTACTCCCCCAGCTCAACAATTGACGACACCAGCTGCGACACCAAATCGCAGGTCAAGCGTGCTGTACCTAAAACACATTTAGACTATTAGCACGGAAACACCAAAACGTGTTGCTCGCAACATCCTCTCAAGGGCCTTGAATCCAATGCCGCCTATCACGCCTACACATATCAAAACGATCCATCTATACAAGCTTTGCCAACAAATCCCGCAGAGGCTACAGTAGACCCCAAGACTCTTCAAAAGAACACTACATGCAATAAAACCTCCCCACTGCCACCGCGGGGTGACAAATCTAACTCACTACAACATGCCGACGAAGGGCCTAAGAGCTTCCCCCAATGCTTCCACAAGAGCCGGGGAGCACGCTTGTATTTGCCCCTCGCGGCGGCTTGCTCGGACACCCCTGCCCACACGAAAACACCCTCAATAACACGGATTCCAGCAAACCAAGCAACACCTAATGCCTTATCGCCGAGGTGTTCGTCCACAGAAAACCCCGCCTGCTCACGTCGTCCAGGCCCTCATTAAATCCCTGCTCCCTAGACACGCGTCCACACATACCCGAGCCAAAGGAGCCTCGCCAGCTCTTCTGGGAAGGCATGGATAGATACGGAATAGCGTCTTGACGCCTTTGAAACTCGTTGTTTGGAATTGGGAAGATCGCGACCGCTTGCTGCTTCCAGATAAAGCACTGATGGCACCCACAATACAGCCAGATCAACTCGAATGTCGCGCAATGACGCCATCTCGGACGACGGTGGCGAAACCTCTTGTAACGGCAAAGGGTACCTACACTCGCTCTTGATCCTCTCCTTGTCTCCTTCGCTGCCGCCACGTCACAACCCCCACTGTCCCCCCTGTCCTGTGAGAACCCGGCGTGCTCCGTCCCAGCTATGTAGGGGTGCGACGTCAATGGCCTACGCCATCCACGGCTATGAATACCCTCCCTCCGCCCAAAGCGCTCATTCTTACCCAGCACTTGACGGCCTGGCCAGCTCAGCCCCCGCTCCCCCAGTACCGGGAGATCGCCGAGAGGCTCCCGACGGCCTTGCCCAACGCGGCCTCTGCCTCCTCGTCGCTCTCGCAGCCGTCCGACTTGAGCCATTGCACGATCAGCGGCTTCCTCGCCATGCCCCTCGCGTCTCGAAGGGTCACCAGGGGGTCCACCTTCTTGCCCTTGGTCGCCCTCCCCTTCCCCTTCCCTTTGACCTTGCTCGCTGAACCGCCGCCGCCGCCGGTGGTGGTGCTGGTGGCCGTAGCGGGGGCGGCGACTAGCAGCGCGGGGTCCTCCAGAGCCGGCGCAGTGCGCCCGCCACCGCCGCTGCTTCGGCGCCGCTTGCCGAACTCGTTCTTCTTCTTGCTGCTGCTGGCGGTGTTGGTGAGCTTGTTCATCGCCGCTGACCGGTTCGTGCGCTCACGAGCCTCCGCCGCCGCCGCGGCGGCGGCGGCAGCGGCGGCGGCGGCCGCCTTCTTCTTCTTGGCGTTTGCAGCGCTCTCCCACAGATCGACCGCGTCGAGAAGGCGAGTGGGCACCCCGGCAGCGGGGTCCGCCGAAACAGAGGCAACCGCTCGAGCATCGATGATGGTGGTGTCGCCGGTGGCCGTCATCCGACAAGGGCGGCTTTCGCGGTGTTCGTTGTCGCCGTCAGGTTTTCCGTCGCTGTTTCTCTCCACGCCAGACGGCGAGACTCCTCCCGCGTCCACCGTCGGAGCCGGAGCAGGCGCGGGCGCATCGGTGAGGTCCACCACGGTGATCGGGCGGTGTTCGTCCCGGACGGCGTCGAAAGCAACGGCAAGGTTTTCTCCGGGAAGCGCGCCTGGCGTCTCCCGCCGGGGGAGTTCCGCCGGGGACGGCGGGGCCGGGGCGACCGCCAACGTTACCGAGCCCGTGGCTGCCGCGGCGGCGGCGGTTGCGGCGGACGGGGAGGGCGCGGGGCACATTTGCTGGAGGACCTCGAGGTCCGGGGGGGGCTCGGTGGCGGCCTCCTCGGCACCGCAGTCGACTTGCGTGCTCTTCGGGCTGTCGCTGCCACACCCGTGCTTTTCCTGTCCGCGGTCCCCCTTGTCTTCGAGGTGGTCCAAATCGAGGTCTGGCAAATCGAACAGTGCATCTGCAGGAGGCGTGCCATACGGTTTATCGGTCGGCGCGGCCGGAGAGAGAGAGGCAAGGGAGGGCGGAGGGGGTTGGGGGGCGTGGTGAAGACGCGAGTTCAAAAACTGCTCAAGTAGATTTCGAAAGGGTGAACGTGTTTTTCCCGTAAAGATCGATACTGTTTCAAAGTGTTTTTTCATCCAGCTGCTGCACGCAGAGAAGAAGTCAGCAATGCTTCCACCTGAAGCTGTCTGGGGACAAACCCAAGCCATCCTCACTGGACCTTGACTCGAGAACAAGGTGGCAACAGAATGGGATGTCAAGCAGTAATCACTATCCATTCCGCGCTTTATCAATTCGGCGTTCTACGCTCTAGAACAAGAAACACTATGTCAGAAGTGGCAAGCACGAAATATAACAAGACTAGCTCGGAAACGGCGTGCCGCAAACAAGAGAAGATATGGAAGAAGATGTCGCGGAAATGCCGTATCTTGACATCCGAAACGTCGAGTGAAGCATCATCTAATGTTTTCCGCCGGGGAAGCGAGAAGAAACACGAATATCGTGTCACGGCAGCAGCACGAGGTCCAAGATTCTTTGCATCTTGGTGCCCAAGGTATCAAAAGTCCTCCGGCAGTATATATGTTTCTACCTGTGATCCTGCCGGCACATATGGGGGCGTTCTTGGAAATTGGGTGTTGTTTCCCCTGGAACTGTTACCCCAACAACCATCTTGTACTGGTCCTCAAGGCTAGCAACAAAAGTTCAGCGTGCCCACGACGACAAACAGCGGGCTTCATCGTTTCCTTTTTACCGGTGGGCTGCCACTCAACAGCTTCCATGGCAAACGCCCAGTTGCACCAATGCTGCTCGCCACACAGAGGGGACCCCAGCACGAACAAAGCATGTGCTCGCCAAAGGACAACATATTGAACACACATCCTTGTTAGCTGCGAGAGACACGCCTTTCTTTCCGCCCCCCTACTATGAGAAGACCGAGGAACGTTCCGCACAATACGCGCGAATTCGGCGCGAAGCCCCTTCGAACCTATGCACCATCTCATAGAATTATTGAGCATGCTGGAAGGCGTACGGCTCGAAGTACGGCAGCGTGGCCACGTAGAGCTGTGGATGTGGCCGCCGTCCAATATCTCCGGTTTGCCGTACACAGTTATTAACTTCTTCGTTCTGTACTGATTGCGCACAGGCCTCGCAGTGAAGGGTTCGGAAAGCTAGACGCTGGGGTCGCTTCGTTTGTGAGAGAAAAAAAAAAAAAATCCGTCCATGGAGATCGTGTTTGCTGCTCGATTGGAATGTACCGAGCCCAGCAGTTGCCCGGATCGGCACATGTAGAAGAGAAGCCCAGCAGAACATACACGAGGAGCCCAGCAGAAAGCCCCGATCCCCGCAAGCCTTTTCCCTTTAGAATTGGTGGTATGAACCGTTGCAAACGGCCTGCCTTCCTATGCGTAAAAGACAAAAAAAACGAAATCTGCCATCCACAGGGGAGACATCGCTATATGCTGCTATGGGAAATCGTAGAGACACAGGTTACAGCACACCGCTAACGCTATGAACTCATTGCCAATTAATCCTCGACCTTGCTATGGATAGAGATGGATTCGTTGCGCTATATGTTGAGAAAAAAAAAAGATGTCCCGATATAGCGCCGGTACGTGTCCAGGCGATTTGACCGGCACCATATCGGACACCGGCACTATTCAGAATTGTGCCTCAACAGTGCCAAACCGGCATCCCTCCATGGTGCCGGCTTGGCACTATTCAAGACTGTTCGACTTCAGAGTGCAGCGCTTGCGCTTTGCGGGGCTGACAGAGTACCAAACGAACGGTATTAGGATCAATCGTGAGGTGGGCGACGTGGGCGGGCTTCATTAAGTTTCGTGAGGCTCTTGGACTGTCGAAAACACGGCAAAATTAACTTGATTGACCAGATAGATTTGTTGCACAGCACTTGCTCTCTTCCCACACCTCAGCGCAAGCACTCGCTAGTGAAACGTTGCTGCTACCTTTCAACTGTAGACCGTGCTGCCCGATAAAAGTTCACCTCGCTATCAAATGATTATGTGTTGTATTGCGCCGTAGTAACTATTCAAGCAACCTCAAAGGCATCCCTTGACAGCGAAAGAAAGACGCTCATGCACGCACCCGATGTACATTTGGAGGTTTTAACATGGATGGATGCAGTGCTCCTTACATGAGCACACAAAAGAAGATGCAACCTAAAAAAGGGGTGAAGAAGATAACGAACTCCCCTGTTCCTTCGATAAAAAGCTAGAGAGAAGACCAAGCCTTCAGGAGCAAGAAAAACGACTGGCCAACCAAAAGACGTCAGTCTCAGTGCGGTCAAAAACAATACAATATTTGTTTCTCAAGGCCGTGAGAGGGTGTCATGGAGGAGGCTGAGCTATTCTCTAGATAAAAGACAGAAATGGTGGCAACAGAGAGAGGAGAACTACGTGACTGCCAAGGCTTAAAAACTTTGAACACGCGTTCGTTTGGGAGTGTTTTCATCCTTAGAAATATTTTATTTACCACCACTACTACATACACTCTTCACAAATATGTTTCCACTATTTTTCGGGCGGTAATCTCTAGATTCTGCGCCCCTGCGGCGTTTTTTATGGGAGGAAGGTCATCTCGCTCGAAACTCTTGTTGTTCCCCTCAACGCCATATTTTCCTCCTGCATCATCACTTCTATCCTTGGCTATATTTTCCATATCCTTCTTCACTACCACCATCTTCCTTGTCGCTCGCCTCACCACTGAAATCCCAGCCTATTGGTGGAACCTGGTCGATCGGTATACCGTGACATTTGAAGACGTCACGCGTACCGAGAGAAACCGAGCTATACTTGTAGCTCGAAGGGAAACCGTCTCAGAATCCTGCCGGCGTGGAAGGCTTGAGGCGAACAAACGTTGTGTGTGGGGTCTGAACCGGCACTATCGACGGGCTCGATAGTGCCTGAACCGGCACTACAGCGGGCAGCCCTGAATAGTGCCAAACCGGCACTATTCAGACCTGTGCCTGTGTCGAGAATTTTACCGGCACTATACCGGACGTTGGCACTATTCAACCGGCACTATATCGGGAACCTACTCTACTGATTATCAGGCCGATGGTCCCGCCATGGGCAGAGTTGAAAAAACGAAAAACGCCGCATATATTTGTTCTACACTCTGCTCCCTCTGCTCCCATCTCGCTGCCAGGAAAGTTCAGCTAATGAACCACTTATTGTTTTTCTTTTAAGCTCAGCCGTGTGCCGTAGCTCGAGATCGGCTTTTGAGACCAGATCGGGGTGTGTGCATAATAATAAAAATTACTTCGGAGTTATACCGACGGGAAAAAAAGATCGAGTGCTTAGGCCATTTCTTGCGGTTCTTTTTTCGCAGATCTTTTTTCCCCCCTTTCGGACAACCCAGAAAGGGATCTACAAAAACGATGACCCCCTTCTTACGGTGTTGGGCGATCCTTTTTCACCGACCAAAAAAAAACAGACTCTGCAACGGCTGCTGTCACACATACATGTACCTTCCCACCGAAATGGGTTTTCGGTGATATCTCCTCACAGAGTGAAGCAGCGCCTACTGTAAAGCTATCCCTCGCGAGCTATGTGTATGGTCCGTCTTGGGTGGCGGCTGACAGAGACCACAGGGCGATAGGAGGCACGGGAATGGAGATGCCGAGAGTCGACAGCACGCTGCAAAAATGCCCACCGCGCCAGCAACCATTTTTTTTTTGCTCTTGTGCCCCTGTCAAAACTTTGGTTTACCGGTACTCCCTCGCCACCCACTCTAGCAACAGCGATGACAAAGGTATGCGCCACGAGCTGTGTGTATGGTCCGTCTTGTGTGGTGGCTGACACAGACCAGGAGGCTATAGGACGTTCAGAACTTGTGAGCGCGAGAGTGGTGGACAAGCGGGAAAAATGATCCGCCGCATCTTCAAGCAACTTTTTTCGCTCTTTTGCCCGTGTCGCAACTTTGGTTTGCCAGTACTCCCTCGCCACCCACTCAAGCAACAGCGATGATAAAGGCATGCGCCACGAGCTGTGCGTATGGTTCGTCTTGTGTGATGATTGATACAGCCCAGGAGGCTATAGGACGCCCAAAAGTTGGGTTCGCAAGGTTGACAGTACACGAAAAATGACCCACCGCTGCTGCGTCCAGGCTCTCTCGGTTTGTTTGCCTCTTGTTTGCCGCACACATCGGGTTGTCCACCTGGTCCAGCCCACTGAAAAAACATTGGCTACCGCCGGTGCCACCGACTCTGTACCAGCCAGCAACATGACACAACTCGTGTGACCACCGTTAGAGTTTGCGGTGGGCCGTCGAGAGATTCAAGTTTCTAGGTACGAGTGATGTGGTTGTGACCAAAAAAAGACAACAGTTTTGGACAGCCTCCACTTGTCCAAAACTGCCCCAAAAAAAGACAGGATGGGCTGTCCAAAACGGGTTGTCTTTTTCTGGCGATCTTTTTTTGAGGAAAAAAGACATTGTAAGAAGACCTTCTACGGCCAGTTGTCTTTTTTTGAGAAGGAAAAAAGAAAAAGATCATAAAAAAAGACAACCGCAAGAAATGGCCTTAGGGCCACTTGTTAAGCTTGTCCTTTTTTGGGCTGTCCCTTTTCTCAAAAAGGGACGAACCAAAAAAGAATCTAGCAAAAAGATGACCCACTTGTTACGGTGCTGGTCGATCCTTTTTGCTCATCCGCCAAAAAAAATGACCCTGCAACAACAAGTGCAACGGCCGTTCGTCACACAATGAGTACCTTGGCACCGAGTTGGTTTTTCGGTGATATCTCCGCACAGAGTGAAGCATCAGCAACTGTAAAGCTATCCCCCGCGAGCTGGGTGCTTGGTCCGCCTTGTGTGGCGGCTGATCGAGACCACAGGGCAGTGGGAGGCACGGCAACTGAGGTGGCGAGAGTCAACAGCACCTTGAAAAACCCCACCGCGCCAACAACCAGCTTTGTTTGCTCTTTTTTGCCCATGCCGCAACTTTGGTTCATGGATGCTCCCTCGCCACACACTGAAACAACAGCGATGACAAAGGTATCCGCCACGAGCTATGTGTATGGTCCGTCTTGTGTGGTGGTTGATACAGACCAGAAGGCTGACGGGCGGTCAGAGGTTGTGAGCCCGAGAGTGGTGGACAAGCGGGAAAAATGACCCGCCGCGTCTCCAAGCATATTTTTTGTTCTTTTTCCCCGTGTTGCAACTTTGGTTCATCGATGCTCCCTCGTCACACACCGAAGCAACAGCGACGACAAAGGTATCCGCCATGAGCTGTGCGTCTGATTCGTCTTGTGTGGTGATTGATACAGACCAGGACGCTATAGGTCGCCCAGAAGTTGGGTTCGCAAAAGTTGACTGTGCACCAAAAAGACCCACCGCTGCTGCGTCCAGGCTCTTTCGGCTCGTTTGCCGCTTGTTTGCCGCACACATCGGGTTGTCCACCTGGTCAGCCGAATGACAACATTACGTCTATCGCCGAGGCTACTGACTCCGTACCAGTCACATGACACGACTCGTGCGAATACCGTTAGAGTTTGCGGGGATCATCCGTCGAGATATTCAAGTTTGTGGGCAAGTGTCATGTGTTGTGACAGAAAAAGGACAACAAAAAAGGACCGTCCCATCCTGTCACAAAGTTGCCCAAAAAGGGACAGGATGGGGCGATCTTTTTTCGCTGTCCCTTTTCGGGAGGTTCAAAAATGCAAAAAAAGACCACGTAACAAGTGGTTCTTGGTCAGTTGTCCCTTTTTGAGAAAAGGGACAGCCCAAAAAAGGACAGCTTAACAAGTGGCCTTAGAGAGACCAGCTCTATTCGGGATTTATTTATACTCAAACCACCGATGCTCCTTTGGGGATTCACTGCAGCAGAACAGACAACGGACATTTAATTGCATACGGTACGCACGGGTCCGTGCGAGCCTACAGCAATTTACACGAAGCACCACTGCGAACCATGCAAAAAGTAGAAAATGACCCGCACACGAGAAGGTGAAGGAGTTACAAGCAGTTTCGAAGCAACACGATGCATTTTGCAACCCGCACCTTGCAAATCAGCATCTAGCAGCAGCTCCTCAGTAGCACCTCCCCCGAGGTACGGCTCCTTGCCCACCCCCCCAGATTTTCCGCCCCCACCATCAGCATCTAGCAGCAGCTCCTCGGTAGCACTTCCCGCGAGGTACGGCTCCTTGTCGCACCCCGCTCCTCTCTCGCTCCCACCATCACCCGCATTTTCGAAACCGCCTTCTTCGGCGTCATCATCTGCTGTATCGCACTTCAGATCTGTGTTGCCGAACACGCACTCCAGATCTCCGAGCTCTAGTCCTAGGCGCAGGAGGTCATCGAGCTCTTCCTCTTCGGCCAAGTTAGTCTCATCGTTCCCCGGCCAACCAAAGTCGGCGAACTCATCCGTGGCAAAGGCAACGGGAGCAGCAACAACTTTCGGAGGTGCTTGCAGAGGTGCCCATTTTTTCGGGGTCTCGAAAGACGGGCCGGTGTCGGTGGCTCTCTCGTTGTGCTTGGTGACGAGACTGCACGCAGAAGAAGCTACTCCAGGACGCAGCGTCCTCCCCGACATATCAAGCTGAGATCAGATGGGAAGGGCCTATCCTCTTGTCTCTCGTCCTCTTGGGTGTTTATTAGTGTTGGCTGTCGGTGCTGCGTGTGGCGTCTCCCACCTTTGTTGTAATCTGTACAGTCCCGCCGCTTGGTCCCGCCGCGTTTGATTCCCAGGTTCTGGGGAACGGTCCACGGCTGGCTACTGATCCTCCCTGTACAACTACACTGCTGTTGTACCAAACAGCACAGCAGTGATTTTGTTGCCTATCGCCGAGGAAGGGGGAAGGACCCAGGATCCAGGCTAGCACAGCCCTAGCCAGAAAGCCCATAAGACTGGTGCAATCCTTCGGGGCTGTTACATGATAGCGAAGCACGATCTTGACCGGCAACGATCGGTTGTGGTACATATGTCGTGGTGGGACAGTGCAACCACGATGACGCATGATCGCAATAGCATGCTTGAGGATCGGTAACGCTAGCATAATTGAGGATCGGTAACGCGTTACCGATTCAGCACTGTCTAATGTTGCATTTTGTCGCAAGGACGCGTGGCGGTATATACAGTTTAAGTCAGTATCGTTCAAACCTTGGACGTATGTGACAGTCTTCCTCTGGTTCAACAAGAAAGTCTCAGCGACAAGTCGCTGATCGGTTCAACCCCACAGTCTGGAACGAAATATCCATCCCGGCGCTTCCCGCCCCTCCCACCCCACCCCACTCACTTTCACCCACACCTCTGATCGCTTGGTCAGAGAGCACAAACAAACCAGCAACCAAGAATCGCTTCACATCTTTTCAACATGAATATGTTGGTGGCCCCCTTCCGCTACATCCTGGCTTGGGTCTCCCCCAAGAGTGAACGGTGGGTGCCTGAATCGCTAGTACTCCGTGGTTAGCAAGAAAATTTGGGGTCATGCTTTGAGTATGACTAACGACCCCTTTTCTCTACCCCTCACGGTTGAACAAATGGTTAATGCCCGCCGCACCAGAAGCTACACGTGGTGCCGGCTTTCCTGCGAGATGCTGGAGGAAAACTGTGCCCGTTGCCTCCCCCTCCTGCCCAAGCCGATAAACACCCCGAACTGGCTCGCCTGGTTAAGGTCTGCACTGACACCGACAGAGACCGTCGGGTGTGTTGCTGTTGCGGCGTTGCTGTTGGTCGCCCTGGCCAGAAGGGTCGTCAACGGAAAGCGGTGGGTAGCTCTGTTTTCCCATGAAATAGCAGAGTTTGGTCTATCAATAGACTATCGAACTACAATATTCTACCCGACTCAGTCTATACGAACGTTGTTCTGTGTACAATATAAAGAGACAATGACAGCAGCAACAACAACGTTCGTTGTGTCACGTGTTGGCTAATGATATCCACCCGGTCAAAAAACAATTTGCAAAAAATCAAGCGCATGGAGGGTCTGACGGTAGACGCTTTTAACATCTGATGCTTGATACCCTGTCCTCAAAACAAAGGTCGAAACGCGATGCCGAACACACCAAGAAACGATACGACAAGTCCCGAGAATGTATTCGGAAGATTAGGCTCCGAGTGTACATCTGGTACGTTCTATTTCGACGCGCCGTCAAGCTACGAGCTCCAGCTCGTTCCCAGCAGCTGCGGATCTGCGCCGCCCGGATGCCTCCATCAGCGGTGGCGGCATCGTTGAGGCCTCCGGGCCTTCCTCTCCCGGAATCGCTCCGGGAGGTGGCCGTTGCTGACGGTATGGTCCTTCAGATCCCGGGGCTGTCATTCCACTTCTCCAATGACCCGACGTCGACACTTTTGGTGGAGACGTTTGGCACACTACAACTCTTCCGAAACCGTCGGGACACCTCTTCCTCTGACTGCCTAGATGATGGTGACGAGGGGCATCGTCTCGTGCACCCCGAAGAAATGGAACTAACGGTTACCATATTTTCGTCGGCACGAGCGTATCACGGCCGAGGTGACCCGGGCGCTGCTCCCCCACCGTCCGGGGAGCACGCAATGGACGCTACGGGATTGGTGTTCAAGATGATGATGACGTTCACACCACCATCACCGCCCTCGGAGGGCCTGGGCCCGTCGATGGCGGCGGGGGCGACCATTAACCTTTCAGATTTTGGCTGGCTCGGCAATTCGACTAGGGCACTCGATCTGTCTCAATATCTACACTCTCCTTCTACCGGTCGCAGCAGGGTGAGCACAGCGGGTTCTATGTCCCCAACAAGGTGCATCACCTAAGGGTCTGATCTGAAACAATCCAAGCAGTGGGTGCGGTACTCGTGCCACGCATAGATTGACTCTGACTATTTTGTCATAACAAGAACTGAGAGGTGTTGCATGTGACCTGGTTGTACCAATACTGTTTTCGTCGACACAAACTTGTTTCCCGCGACAAGTGGACTTGCCGGCTCGTCTCCAGGCAGAATACGATCGAAGCCATATCAATCTATAACCCATCATCTATCATCTCGCATCCTTTTAAGAGAAGGTTTCAACATTTCTCATCACCTGCGAGGAGCTAGCTAAACACCACGACCATCGTTCAATCGGTGGTGTCGACCGCCCCAACAACATTTTCCAACAAGATCTTCCTGTCGTACCTGTTTCCGTCGTTCCCGTCTAACATAAGGGTGACCTCCTGCCACCGGGAGGACCCGCCTTCGACCTGTTCGAGCCGGAACGGGAGCCCCCGGTGAGTGTAAATACACAAATGCTGTTCTTGTCTAAGAGGTATAAAAAATGGCCAGCTCGTAACACGCGTAAGTTGGCATCCCGTCGGCATCCCGACGGCATCCAGTCTCGTCTCCAGGCAGAACACGATCGAAGCCATATCTCTCTATCATCCATCACTTTGCATGCATTGAAGAGAAGGCTTCAACATTTCTCATCACCTGCAAGGAGCTAGCTAATCACCACGACCATCGTTCAATCGGTTGTGTCCACCGCCCAAACAACATGTTCCAGCAACATCTTCCTGTCGTACCTGTTTCCGTCCTTCCCGTGTTACATAAGGATAACCTCCTGATACCCCGAGGACAAGCCTTCGACCTGTTCGAGCCAGAACGGGAGCCCCCGGTGAGTGTCAATACACAAATGCTGTTCTTGTCTAAGAGTTATAGAAAAACCCAGCTTGTAACACGCGTAAGTTGGCATCCCGTCTCGTCTCCAGGCAGAATACGATCGAAGCCATATCTCTTTATCATCCACAATCTTGCATGCATTGAAGAGAAGGCTTCAACATTTCTCATCACCTGCGAGGAGCTAGCGAAACACCGTGACCACCTTTCAATCGGTTGTGTCGATCGCCAACAGTATCTTCCTGTCGTACCTGTTTCCGTCCTCCCCGTGTAACATAAGGGTGATCTCCTGATTCCCGGAGGACCGGCCGTCGACCTATTCGAGCCGGAACGGGAGCCCGTGGTGAGTGTCAATACACAAATGCTGTTCTTGTCTAAGAGCTATAGACAAACCCATCCTGTAACACGCGTAGTAGGTGGACATACCGTCCCGTCTTCAGGTAGCACACGATCGAAACCACATATACATCTATTATCCATCACTACCTTCGTTTCTCCCTCCCCGTCTAGCGGCAGGTTCAACTCCTGCACGCGAACGGGCCGAACCTATCACTGCTTGACACGGTCGACGAGGAGCCCGCGGTGAGTGTCTTTGCAAGATTGTGTTCGTCGGAGAGCTATATCAACAGCTCCCGCGACATTCGCCTCACAGCAACGTAGCCACCGTTCGTAGACGACATGCCACGAGGAATAGGGTCTAGGCGCACAATTACTTGTTGTATATATTTTGGTATGCTCGTGCATGCTGCTTGGGCCGAAGAACATCGTGGTGGGTGGATGCGACCACGGTAGGCCTGCGGAAGCAAGTTAGCCCGGTGCGTCGCCTGCAGAATGGGCGTCTCTTCGCAAGATGTTCAAAGTTCCCATTTTTTCAAGACCCCCACCCTTCCCGTAGTTTCGGGCGAGGGACATCTGCCAGAATTCGTTTCTGGTCCCCAGCCCTGCGGCAAACTCTGAGTAGCTACGATTTTCGCCATGATGCCTTTTCGCTTTTGTTTCAGTCAGGCGCGTTCGCGGATCTTCGTTTTTTCACGCACAAGACCACCGGGGAAGTGTTCGCCCTGAAGACCGCAGAGGTGAATTCAGCTGGGAAGTGTTTTCTCGTTGTCGAATTGCAATGCGGCGACATGATTCTAAGGACGAGTATTCTGAACTGCAAAGGCTCCGTGGTCCACCACGTGCTGTATTTGTTCTGTGCTTTTACTTTACATCAACAAGGGTAAATCTCATAATCATCCACCAGAGACCGACGTGTGGTGCCGTGCATCCACTGAGTTTGAGCGTTGTACGGTTACGATGGCATTGGATTCAGTCAAGCAAGGCATGTGAATCCTGGGTCAACAAACCACGATAAGACCTTGAGCCACGAAACATCCACACAACATAGTTCCGCAGCGCGGCGAGTGCCCAGGGCAGCGCGTGGTTTCAAGGTGGCCGACGTTGACGCACTTGCCAAACCCTCCTTCGTGGTCTCTCTGAAGGTCTTGCACACACCTTCCATGCGCCCCACGCTTGCCATTCAAATCCCACCAAACTCGGAATTCCTTTTGATCAATTTCAGGACACACCCGAGGGGATTAAGAACATCCTCGCGGAGATCAACATCCTTCGCGAGGTGATCGGCAGCGCTCCTCGTCACATTGTGAAGGCTATTGAGACCAGAGCGACCCCAGTGGCCATGATACTCACCAAGGCGGAGCCCAGGACGTTGAGATGCATCGGAGACAGCCCTGGTGCTTCGAATGCTGGCGACACCGTCAAGTGAGGCAAATACGATGCAGGCCTTCGTGTGTCGTCAGGTGTGATTGTGTCATGGGTTTGGCTCACCTTCAGACAAGCCCAAACATTCTGCATGATGACCACCGTACCGGAAAAGAAGGATTCCTGGTGCTACAGTGTATTCTCTTCATTGAACAATAGCAGACATCCTCATCCCATACATTGTGGTGCATGAACTGGACCGCGCCAAACCTTGACCGTGCTGACGTAGACAACCTTGCTATCTTTGTAGGCTATATTTGAGGTGACTTCGCAAATATATGATAATAGACGACCACGAGGCTCAACAATTGTCCCCCCCGGCGTGAATCGTGTTCCCCCTGCTGGTCGGGATTTCCAGGGTGCTTGACGGAGTCCTGACGGCTATCGAATTCCTTAGCTCCGAGGGGTTTCTGCACCGCGACATTAGGCCTGAGAACATCCACGTATCCGGGGACGGAGAAGGACTTCTGGCCGACTTTGGCCTTTGCACCCACAAGGAGATAGCGGTCCTTCCCTGGCAGATCGGTGCGGGTACACCGGAGTACCAGGCTACAGAGGTGGCGACCACGGGGTCGTCCCTATGCTCCGAGCTATTCGCTGTCTCAGTCTGCTTCCTGGAAATGATGCTCAGCCGAAACCCGTTTGACGGGAAGGTGTGTAAGGCAGGAAGACGAGGGTTCGGCATTGTCGCGCATGGATGTAGAAACTGGAATTGACTATTAGCATAACCCTTCGGTGTAGAAAGGAGTACCGTGTTCACGCAAGCCGTTTCATTCATGAATGTGTGCAAGTGGAAAGCGTGTGATCACGTCCCGAGAACAAACATTTCTTGTCACTGTCAACTCTTAAGCAACGTTCCAGCGGGTTGAAAAGGTGGCATCTAACCCTAGATGATGAAATAAGGAGTGTTTCGCAAACATACCTCCTCGCTGACACGTTCAGTTTCAGTCCAAGCTTCTGCACGTGCTACATGTAGGCCTACCGCCAAAACAACGTGTTCGGGTTTCCTGCCCCTTGTCTGTGTCGCCACGCCGTAAACTGTAACATGCTGCAACGTCCAGGCATTGCGGTTGGCCAGTGAACGGCGGAGGTCTTACCTCGAAGGGGTAAGAAAAGAGCTACTCCACGTTCTATCACATCATGCCGAGGATGGAAATTATCGGGGTCACCTTGCCCCCGACCACCACATGGAATCCCAAAACAACGAGCGCGAAGCACTAGCGGAGGCATCCTCTAGGCTGGAAAACACACGCAGAACGGAATGGGTGAGACCAAAGTGAACGAGATGAGACTACTTACAAGGGACAAAATTTGGGATGGGATGAAACGAGGTACTTTGCGTGTGGCATAATACCAAAGGGCAACGTGAGGGAGAACGAGGGCCCTTTTCTCGGTAGCGAACAACAACCAACGCCGAAAGCTACGTAGTGCAATACAGCACCTGGTTATGCTATAGTATAAACAAATACGCGGGAGGTCGAATTTTGATGCGTCACTCATGGAAACGCGCAACTTCTTGGAGGGGAAACCGGCTTGAAATCCAGTTTCTTCCGTCGAGGGAAAGAACATCGCTCATTGCTCCTTGTACTACAGCGACGACGTGAGCTTGTGGTCATTGCCAGGAAGGCGTACGTAGTGCTCTTCTTGTAGGATAGTGCCGGAATGCTTACAATAGTTCAAGTTTGGTCAGTTTGCAGGATATAAAAGACCCACTCTGTTCTCAACGGGTGCATTTCGACAAGGTAGTACCGAAAAACATGTTCCAGTCTACTATCTACATAGGCTAACAACCTTGTGTGGAATAATTCTACGTAGGAGATAATTGGTGGCGTAGTAGGTGTTACTCCGGTCTCGACCTTGGCTCGACCTGATTTGAACCGACTTCTTGCACCAGACGGACCCGTCAATTATTGCTGATTTGTATTCTGCTGTTGTTCTCGTGCTGCACAAAACCGATTGAACCAAGCAGCTCCTCGGCATTCGCAGCGACGAATGGCGGCCGGACGCGGAAGCTCTGTCGGCACTGGCCAGGACAGAAGTACCTCTGGAAGTGTACGTCGTGCCCAGCCAGGCCGACACCCGCTCACGGGAGATCAAGGAGGTGAGAGAAACTCCCACAAACGTGGAGAAATACGAGACAGTTATGAATAAACGATACCTTCATTGGGGTGCGTAAAAACAGAGCTGAGCTCTTGGGTTGCACGATTGTATCCAAGATTTACGTAGTCACAGGAAGAGCCCGTTGAGGTTTCACCTGCATCTCTCCGCGGCCCCATCAAACTGGCCCAACGCTGAGAGAAGACTTGAGGGTGCATGCGGCACGCGAGATTTCATATTGACCAAACCTGTTTCTACGGCAGTGGTACCTTTAGTGTTCATACGAGTTGAGAATTAATCGATATGATAGAGAGTAGAGGAGGATAAATTTGCACATACTATGTTCATACGAAGATGAAAAGACCAACCACGGGACACGCTGCAGCACTAGTGAAAATATAGCTCTTGTCTTGTGCCTGACTCTCAGCTTCCTCTATGCAACACGTGGCCCCCCCATCGTCTGCGTCCCTCACGTTGTCCCAGAACTGGGCGGGAGTCGAGGCGAAGAGTTCTCCTCGAAAGGTGTTCGAGGCGGCCGATTGGACGGAATGGCTTCCCGGCACCACCAGGGTGCCTTGCACCAAGGGTCTCCGCAAGATCGTGTCTTTGGTGGTGGAGAAAGGCATGCTAGATCCGAACCCTGGCGGTAGACCCCAGACCACGGCCGCCTTGCAGGGTCTCCTCCACGAGGCCCTGAGGCTATATGAGACTACCGAGGCAGAAGGGGAGTAGGTTGAACGGCAGTGAGTAGAGGATTCCCTCGAACGAGTACACGGTCATCCTGCTAAAGTTGTACACTTTCGTCTCGATCGTTTTCATGCGCCCTCCGCACATTGAATGCCGGGACACGTGTAGGTACGTACATGTTGCACATATGATTTTTCTTTTGGGTGGCGAAAATCTCTAGACTGCTGCGAACAGTTGTGATGCAGGCGATTACCCGGCCGAGGGAAGCATGACGATGTGACGTGTAACAGAATGATTATCCCATTTGGAGCTTTTGTCCGCTGGAGGTTCGACGAAAGGCGTCCGGGGTGGTGAGGGTGACTGAAAGTGGTTTTGAACGGGTCTCGCGTGTGAGATCGGAGTAAATGTTCCGAGTGGAGAATTAAGTGGTAGGCTAGGTTGCTGAGGAGACCTTGGTGCTGTAGAATGCGACAATCGTGCTTTGTGTGATTGCAGGGCGTGGGTTGACGGACCAGTAGACTATCAATTGTCGAATGGACACTGGTGTGAGTTAGAGAACGTGCGTGGAGCAAACATGGACCGGTGTTCTGTCGGTTGCCTGTTGGGTTTATGGAAAACCCTCCAAACACAAGCACCTGTATTTGGCAGAATACCTCGATGCACCGAACTTGGAACCGTCCAGGAGTTCTGAACTACATAGTCTATACACGATGTACTCCACATAAACCTGGTCGCCCCGGTGGTCTAGTTGGTATCCTCGAAACCTTCTAGAGGTCAGGTCAGGGTTCGAATCCCGGCGTAAGCGAGCTTTCCTTGCAAAGTGAGTGCTTCTCTCCCTTCCGCTCCTGGCCTAGTGGATGACACAAGTTCGTTTGTACACAGAGGGAAGAGAATGTTGAATTGAACTCTTCTCGCATTGGAACTCGAAGGCAAAGTACCGCGGGAGGGGGGGGTAGAGAGGGGCTCTTCTGTGTGACCACGGGTTGGAAACGGCACAAAGAAAAAAAAAACACCTCGCCTGCCACATCTTCAACACACGCGCTTTGTACAACGCCAGCAGCAACACCACCAAAAAACATGACTTCTGCTAGGCGTTGCTTCACTTGTCTGACATTCCACATGCAGCGTGTTTTGAGACCACGAAACAACTAGTAGACCAAGTGTACAAGAAAAAACAATTCCGGAACACATACCCCTGCCCACGAACCTGTGGAGGGGGAAATTCAGAAAAGTTTCCACGTCAACGAAAACATTGGACGGTTTAGAGCTTATTGAAGACAAGTATGGAGTTAAAGAGAGTGGAACTATCTCGACATTTGTCACGTGTCTTGTCGATATGTGAGAAAATTTGCCCATGTAAATCCTGCCGTATCTCTTAAAATCGGACCCCACAGAGAAAAGACGCATAAAGATAGGCTCAAAACTGTAGCTACCATGATCTGGGCAGCCGGTAGCCGCTACTTCAGCGCCCACGTTCACACGCCAACAAAGTCGAACAGGTTGCTGTTGCGAGTATACTGGCGGAGCTCCAGCGGTGACGACTAGGATGTCCGCGTTGGCGTGCAACGGTGAAAAGAGAAGCGCGGAGTGCAGACTCTTAGAGTGTGGTCTTCTTCGAGTGAAGAAGGAGCGAGGTGGGTGAGGAACGCCTCTATCACCATTTGATTCGCGCGAACGAGTTCCGCGTGGGCATCTTCGAACAACGTTTCAAGAGGCTTTTCCAAGCTTTGAGATGCGTAGTAAAATATAGGACCAATCATTAATTGTGGCGTTACTCCACGTTACACCAGCGTTCGTCATACCACTACTGCAAACCGTCAACCCCTTTTGGACTGCGGCAGACAGTGAGAAAGCTTTTGGGAGCTTCGTCCGAAATGTTCTATCGTCGGCATGTGTATCTTGGACATATACTCTCGGCTCGTTGCCATCCAGCTGGTCACTGTGATATTTACAAGTAGGGATCTCCGGGGACGGACCCCTCGCCAGGCGCTGCCGGAAAAGGAACTAATGGTGCTTGTGAAAGTGACCAGCCGGGATTCGAACCCGTGCGTGTATCCTTTGTTAGAAAGGCTTACCCATTAGACTACTCAGTCAGCGCTGACTAAAGACTTCTTCACATGAAAAACATGGACTCACATGAACACATGAACACATGAACACATGAACACATGAACACATGAACAGACATGGACAGACATGAACTGCACGCACGCGTGCACGCACCACCATGAGGGGGCGACGCAGTATACAACAGGGGTACCTTGCACACCCTGGAAATACATTCCACGTACCACACAATGCTACAACCACTTGGCATTGCTACAAGTATATCTATCAGCCCCCCTGCTTGTGACCATGCCATGTCTTTTTCGATCCTCAAGAACTCCAAAACACAAGAAAATAAACTCAGAAACTCAACTCAGCTCCAGAACAATAGCCTCACTGGCTAGACATCAATACCCATCCCCGGTCATATCAGATATACTTCTTCGAGCTTCAGTGAACTAATTGCCCCCCAGCCTAGAACACCATCCATTGAGAAAAACCATAGGCAAAAATGCAAAATGTTGCCACCCTAGTTGTTTGATCACACACAAAATAAACCCAAACATCAAAATATTAATCCATACTCATTACGAAGTTACGATGAAACTTGAAATTTCCCACGTTAAGTGCCTTCGTGAGGAAGTCAGCATGTTGATACGCCGATTCCACGTGAAAAATCGAAATCTCCTTCCTGCGTACCAAATCCCTGATAAAGTGGTGCCTTACGTCGATGTGCTTCGAGTTACTGTTGCTAATCGGTTTCTGCGCCAACTGAATAGCCCCCTGGTTATCCTCGAACACCGGAATACACGGCATACCTGCTTCTGGCAACATGAAACGCCGTACTTGCCTCAGAAACAACACTTCCTTCATCACATCCGCAAGAGAGACATACTCCGCCTCTGTCGTGCTCAACGTAACGCACTTCTGCGTCCTCGAAAACCAAGAAATTCATCCCCCCCCCACACATCACCAACCCTCCTGACACAGACCTCCTATCGGCAGCCTTACTTGCATAGTCTGCGTCTGCGAACACCTTCATGCTCAACCCTGCTACACTACCCCTCCTGAATGTAATAGCCAAGTCACTAGTCCTTACCACATACCCCAAAATACCAAGACCTGCTCTCCAATGAATCTCTTTGGGAGAAGCACAGTAACGTGCTACCGCTCTCACTACGTTCGCGATATCTGGCCTCGTTTGCGTTGCCAGCCACATCAATGATCCTATCAGCTCACAAAAAGGCCTTGATACCACTTCTTCATCTTGGTCAAACTCTGAAAGCTTCAACCCTACAGGAAGAGGAATTTCCTTCCCGTACTCTACCCCAAACTCCATCCCCAACTCTTCAGCGTACGTCTGCTTCGAGGTATTCAAAGTCCCTGCATCCCAATTTTCCAAGAATAAAATCTCCTCTACCACCTGCTCCCTCAGGTTGTGATCGCTGTTCACAACCAAACATCCTGTGAAAACCTCGAAAATAAAATCCTACTCGTTCAGGCTCGACCTCGTACTCAAAAAGACCAAACACAAAGCCGAAGCACCACAAAACAAAGCCAAAACAATGAGAACACGAAATAAGAAAAGTCACACCATTGGTCACATGAAGTATTTTTGCCGGCCCATCAACCCCAGCGCTTTCATCCATCCCTCCTGCCACTGCTTCTTCTCCGCGGTAGCCACCCTCGCCTCTGCCGCGGCCACCCTTTTCTGCTGGCATCGCCGCGGCTCGGGCTTCATCAGGTGCCACGTATCCGCCTGGGTGGGGTGGGTGCAGCTGTCTCTCCGGGGGGATTGACTCGGCAGTGCAGGGGAGATTGCGCATCCGAAAGGGAAAGGCACAGGCAAAATCAGTCACCCAAAGCGTCAATTTAGCACGTGGCACTGCTGGGGAGAATACCTTGCAATACGCCCCCGGTTCTGCGCAGCAGTGATCGTTGTCTTTCGCATTCTGTACGACATCATGGTTACCTATCAAATCGAACGCCAATCTACGACTGAGGTTAATTACTCCTCTTTCGTAAAAGTGACACAACGATTCTTGGGATTTGTCTGACAAGGTTAATTATTCCTCGGTCACGCAAACAACAATGTTGGATCCATGTTAGAGCTTACACAGCTGTGTTTCTGATCAACAACCCAACACATCTTCTTCTTACTGGTGTGCAACCACTGCGCTGCTTTCGTGCATACAGTGTTCTGGTACGAAATGGAGATCATTTCCATGTATTCCTGTCGGTTACACAGACCCCTGACCAAACTTCCAAGTGTATCCCCCTACAACTCCTACCGCTAGACATGCAACAGACTCCTGTTCGTAACACGCAACTCATTGTCGGTAGAGGGTACAAAGATTCATGACGCCTTCGCATATCCCGTTATCGACGTGAACGCAAAAATAATGAGTCGGAGATCAATCTCTGTATTTTAACACAAGAGGGACAAAATATTCCCATCAACTTCAAAGCACTCAAGAAGGTATAGGCAGCAGCTTGGTTAGGATTCGCTGACACTCTCATCTAATCTTCAGTTTCTGTGGGTGACTGGCAACCTTACGTGGCGTAGTAGCCATACAACCTCGCAGTTTTGTGGGTGACTGGCAACCTTACGTGACGCAATATCCATTTAACCTCGCAGTTTTGTGTGGGTGACTGGCAACCTTACGTAGAATAGAAGGCCCTTTGATGGGGTCTACTGCTGTACCTCTCAGGAAAAACATGTGCAAGATGATGACGCCTGTGTATGCAGAACTCAACAAGGTGTGCTGTAGGTTTATCGGAGCACACCCAAACGAAATCGACGAAGACCATACAACATCCGAAATTGGCTCTCAAAAACCTGTACTCTAACCTGGACATCGCCACTAGAATCGAACACACCCGTAAATGGGGCTACATGTATTAGTCTACAGGACTGACACGGATGGTGTCCTTGGGGGGTAAGACTTCCCTGGTTTCCTCCCCCGGGGTGTTGGTCCTTCGCATTGCCCGCGCGAAGG